TTTTTGGTCAGGTTTAGCGTATTGAAATGTGTGTCATTGGATCCCTAGCCCAAGAAAATGTACGTTTTGCACTAAAATTCTAAGCCTTTAGAAGCAAAAATATTGGGAATTATCAGGTTTATGGCAGCCATTTGGGAAAATGGCTGCCATTTCAGCTTTTTTTGTCAGGTTTAGCTCATTGAAATGTGTTTCAAAGGATTTCTGGGCCCAGAAAATGTATATTTAGCACTGAAAATCAAAGCCCTAAGTCATTTAGAAGCGGAGATATTGCGAAATATCAGGTTTATGGCGGCCATTTTGGAAAATGGCTGCCGTTTCGGCTTTTTGGCTAGGTTTAGCTCATTAAAATTTAATTAATTTGATTCCTTGTCTCTGGAAATGTATGTTTAGCACTTAAAATCAAAACTCTATGTTATATAGACACAGAGATATGGGAAATATTAGATTTACAACAAAAATATGTGTTTTATATCGGTTGCTAGGCATATTATTACCATAGCAACGGGAACTAAGCCATATTTATCATTAAAATAGGATAAAAATGCATCATTGGACATCATACTTCCTATAAAAGTAGTCATCTGCTTGGTGATAGCAGTTTCTCGTGATATATTCTATTTCTCACGCCAATATGTTACCGTTGCTAAGGAGAAGATAGCCCTTAGCAACCAAATTTGCCATTTTGGCTCATAACAAAGTTTCAACTTTAGAGCGCTATAACTTTTTAGTTTGAAGAGTAATACACTTGAAATTTGGATATGATATCAACCAGGATGCTGAACAGTTTTTCAGCAGGTTTCAAGTTGGTTTGCATAATAATCAAATAAATATGGAGAAATATGTATTTTTGCGCAATTCACATTTTTGGAAAAAATGGTAAAAAATCACACTTTTGGCTCAAAATTGGTAAGCAAATCATCCCAAAACCTATTGAATGAGGTTTCATCTTGTAGGAAATGTAATTGTCTTTCATATGACACCTTATGCATGGTAAAATGAGGTACTGTTAAAAAGTAATCCCCAGAAATGTACAACAGTAGTTATACATGGCGGCCATTTTGTAAAATGGCCGCCACGGAACTTTCCCCCACCAGGATTCCTTAAGACTTTTGATATGTTATAGAGGACATATTTCTGGGTATAAAACAGTTGACAGACTTTCTGTTGCAATTAGTGGGAGGTTGACCCCTTTTTTTTCACGAAATGCCTGGACTAGTACACACTGGAGGGGAAAAACTATCACGTTAGATGTGTACAATTGTCATCATGAATGGATTGTAGTCTCACATGAATGAACTTATTCATTCAGACAATTTACTGATATGAAAGGAAGAAGAGAACCATAACACAGAGCCTAATATTTTGTTGTTGTGCAATGTCTTTTTGTCAACATACACTTCACACCAATCATATTAGGCATAATATTTTACGTTTTTGTATTGTTATTGTTTTCTTTTAAGGCTGACCAAAGACTTTATCTGTGATTTTAAATGAAAACAAGTTTTCTCCTTTTCCGAAAGGAGAGACTAAAGTTCTTACAAAGTTGCATGATTAAGGCTAATTCCCCTTATCAGTCACATCTCATCTTCCTGTTTCTCTTCTAATAAGGAGGTCCGTGGTGGTCCGCTGTGAATGTTTTTTCTTAACAGGTCTTAGTTTTTATGAAGTATACACCATAAATCAAGCTGAAATGATACCCCCAGGACTTGAGCATGAGATATATAGTGTAATTTAGGTAACTGTGATATAAGCTCTCTGTAAATTATTCCTATAAATAAAGGCCCTTTTACACTGATCAAAATACTCATTTTGAAAATCTATTTGGTTATTTAGTCATTTACACTACTTGAGAAATGTGTGAGGAAAATGTTGGTGTTGACTAATTCTGTTTTTTGGGGGTGAGTCGTGCAATTGTCGCTGCTCTCAATGCGATTAGCGCAGAAGTGAAGAGAGTTGGGTAAGCGAAACACGGAATGATTCACTAGTGTATAGAGAGTGAAGACTGCAAAAACTGGTGGAGATGCAGCGGGAGTTTCAGCAAGAGTTTCAGCAGGAGTTTCAGCAGGAGTATATAGAAACTTCACTCTAGAGGTGGGTTTTTCATTGTGTCTGTCCAATGAAACTCTGCACTTAAAGGCCCACTGCACTACTTGTAGCTACTTGCGCCCTCTATATAACAAACAATGCCTAATCAGTGACCATTGGTCCCCCATGATCCTCTTTTTCTTATGTTAACTGAGAGCTGAGTTGATGAGATAACCACCTGTCCAGTGACCTTGCAGGGCGGTCTAATCCCTCCTGTAAACTATGGCAGATAAGCTTTGAAGGAAAACCCATGTTTTAGGGGTTGGCAGTGTGAATGGCCCTCATCTTCTACTTCTTTCACCACAAAGCATTGCATGGTCAATGGTATGGTCATGGATGGCCCAGGGTTTGAAGCTGATGAGCCTTGGGGAAATAAGATCTTGATAGAGTATATAGTGTTTACAATTTAGCATGTCCGTTTCAAACCCAAGGGCAGTTTTATGATAGAATGATTGATGCGCATTAACTTTGCTCCATCTTTTTAGAGATTGGGTTTCATTGGTTATTTTCCTTGGTCATTTTAAGGTCAATGGCTGAAGCCTTGTTCGGAATTTTATTTCTGGGAAACCAGCTTTTCCCAAGATACATTGTATATACCTGCTTACCTTCTGTATTGCACATATGCAAATTAAAGCCAGAATATTATCTAATGACATTTGTTAATATAATACTTCCATAATTACTATATCCTAGCCTTATGCCTAAACTGCAATTTCCAGATATTGAATTTGATTTAGAAGTTGTCTTGTGTAGTGAATTTTATTGGTAGTGAAAATCAGAATTGGACACATATTTTCTTAAAAGTTACTAACAATGGTAAGGGAATCTTAGAGGATACAATGCTCTCAAAGCCATGATTTTGTAGGAACCTCAGATGTTTTGAATTTTCTTGTCAGTTTTGTGTGACCTGTCTGCTTGACAAATATTTAAAAGAAGTTAATGATTTGTTTAAAAGATATTAGTCATAAAATATCACCTTAAAAAACAAACTGGTGGTCAGTAAAAAAATAAATATTGTATACACAGGATTCTGACAGGTCACTACAAACTAGATCAAGTTCTGTTTGCTATCAGATTGTCAGGTTCAATTCTGGTCATAGTTGTAAATGTTATTGATTACTGTGCAGGTGAAGGGTCATCGACAGAAATGAATCGACAAAAATGAATGGACATTTGTTCATGCCTTATAAAATGTACAAGTGGAACACAGACATGTGTATGCGAAATACAGGATATGTAAGCTAAAAATTACAGTAAGGGAGATATATTCTGAAATGTTGAGTTTAGAAAGGATTATTGTGTTTGGATAATGCAAGGTAATGGGCAACAGAAAGTCCATAAATGATGTATTTATCCAGCTCCCTAAGCATATGAAGAAAATTCATTTATCTTGGACCTAGGTGTTATCATACCTATGCTGTACATTGCCTGAACTATCTGTTAAAAATAATCACAGCATTTTAAAGAATTATTCTTTAATCCACATTGCATTTCTGAATACAAGACTGCAAGTTAGTTTCTCCAAATTCAAAATGCTTGTAGAAAGGGGAAAAAAGAAGGAGGGGGTGGGGGAAAGTATTTTGAAACCTTTTAAATTGTTTTAATTCGTATTTCTTGTTAGCACCTAGCCATTGAATTCATTAAATGTAATGGAATCTCGAAAAACAGAAAGCAATAACAAATAAAATGTATAGTGAAAAAAAAAAGGAGTAGATAATTACGATATGATTTGTTTGATATTCTCCATCTATCGAGCTATTTTTGTTTGTATGGTAATGCATGTATAAATATTTCTTTTTTGGGGGGTTTTTGTTGTTGAAAAAAGGAGAGTTTATAAAAGTTGTATGGGAGTAACTATCTAGGATATTTGGCTATTATTTTTTCTTCTTCAGAAGTAGTAACAAAGCTACTATCCATTATTCATTCCTCATGCATTTTGAACAATATATGGTTCAAAGTCTTCCTTGCCTATGATTCAAAGCAAACCATTAGCCATTTTTTACACTGCTCAGGAGGTTATCAAACTAATCACTCAATTATAATCAGAAAAAGGAGAGTAGCGTTTGTGTTATCTTATTCATTCTCTGCTTATAAATAATTTGGTTGCTTGTTATCAGTGGGAGAGATTGACTTGTAATCTTGGGTGTAGTCGTGTGCTGAATAACTCATTTCCTTAGTAACGCTCAAATTTCTTGTTGTGGTCTGTTCGAGAGTAAAAACCCCCACTTTATCCCCAGATTTAACCTGACATTCAACTTGGAATACCTTGATTACTCTTCATGTCCATTTCAGTTATTGTTTTTTTCTCTCCAGGGATTGACTTGTAGATTGACTTGTAGATTAATATAAATGCATATGAAAAGAACTAACAAATGCTGATAGTAATAGTACATTGCTGTTTTACCTGTAGAATATCGTATGTGTATAATTCTCTGATAGTTCCTTAAAGATGAAGTTGAGTTCTGGTCATGCAATTGCATTGTGAAAGAAACGGTGTGGAACCGACCAGAAAAGGTTGATCATCTAGCATAAGAATTAATGTGTATTGCAAGGTTCTGGAATCATCAAAGTGATAAGAAATGTGGCCAAGTCTTGGTAAAGTTACAAACACTTGCACAGAAAGATGTATATGGGACTACACAAACATGTGGCGTAAAAAGCCGCCCCCCCCCCCCCGATTTTTATGATGTTACATGCATATTTAGAATATGAAGGCATTTGAAGAGCCATGCTTTTCAGGGAACATGTCTTAACTGATGTTCTTCCACACTTGCATAATAAGAATGAGTAATGCTCACAAATTATTTGTCACCTCTTCCCAGAACTCAACCTTCTCTTTAATCTCATGTTGTGCTCGGTTTTGCTATTTCATTAAATCCTTCTTCTTTTGCTATTGCCTTTTCTTTGAAATGCAGAACTACCTCAATTTGTAACTCAACTCGAGTCTATAATAGCTTATCAGGGAGGGGTCGCCAGGTTTCAATGCGATGTCTATGGTGTCCCTAAAGTAAACATAACATGGAAACATATCGCCGTCAGGAGTGGCAGTGAGAGAACGAATATCAGATTAGATGCTGTCAGGTAAGTTACACATCTCTTTTTATACAACTTTGATAATGCAGGTTTCAACATTTCCCAATATATTTTGGAAGATTAGTTTGAGACCCAATAAAAAAAGGATAAACTTACATACCCAGGAGGGATTATGTTTAAGTTCAAGCAGATTATTACAAAAATGGTAAAATCAGGTATTACTTCGAAATAATAATAATAATAATAATAAAGATAGATTTATTGAGCGCATAATAAACCGAGGTTTCTCTATGCGCTTTACAAAGTAAAAGACAAGCAAGTACAAGTATCCTTTAAAAAAAATTATTCATTTATTTTTTGCATGTAAATCAAATGTGTAAACATAATTTGAAATATCACCAATTCAAGGTGTAACATGCCAATTCATTGCATAATTGTGTTAATAATAGTAGTCCTAATCCCCCTTATCTCCTCTTATCTCCTAACCCCCCTACTATTATTAACACAATTATGCACTGAATTGGCATGTTTCCACCTTGAATAAGAACTTTGAATTGGTGATATTTCAAATTATTTTTACACACTTGATTTACATGCAAAAAATAAATAAATTAAAGTTTTAAAAGTATATTCTTATTTGATGTGACCACTGCTCAAATTTCTGTTCGTGTATATGGTCAACACCCAAAAATATTATGTTTTTTTCTTATGCCATTGCCAGGCACGTAGTCCTGCCGAACGGTGTACTTCAGATTCACAATATAACACAAGAAGATGATGGCAGGTACAAGTGCATCGCATCCAACTCCTTGCAGACTGTGCGCAACAACTCCGCATTATTATCAGTGCTACCTCAAGTGTTGTCTCCGAAAGCTGCATCTGATCTAAAAATCGTGCAACGCCCCGTCTCACTACGACTGCTACCAGGGGAAGATGCCCTGTTAGAATGTCTGGTGGAAGGAGCACCTCTAAGAGTTACCTGGAGGAGAAAAGGTATGTTCCAACAGCTTAAAAGGGGAAGTCCACCCTGATATTCAGTTGGTGTTAATAGTAGTAGAAAAATTAGTGAGAGTTTGACCAATATCCGGTTAAAAATAGAAAAGTTGTGAATTGTTGAAGTTGTCATCAGTGAAACACAAATTGGCAACACAGTGATATATCTTTGTACAGAAAATTTTATAAACTTTCATTTTCTTACCTATTGTTGATGAAAGAGATTTGTTTCATACGGGTTTGTATAAAAACATATTTGAAATAATTACATTACATATATAAGGTGAATGTATGAATGAAACTTCTCTGAGGGTAAATACAAATTATATCAGTTATTTTAGCATGGGGCAAATGAGAGGGGAGCTTGCGAGGTACGTCACTGAATTGCCAATTTGTGTTTAATTGATCTAACCTTCAAAATTGCTCATATTTTCATTGACCTGTTTCTCTCATTTTTTAGCTTCTAATAAAACCAACTTAATATCAGGGTGGAGTTTCCATTTAACGATTTGTCTCATGAGGTTAAAAGGCTAAATGAAGTATTTTTAATAACCTACTGAACCAGCTCTATTTGAGATATTAATTCATTTCGATAACTTGCTCCTATGCATATTTTATGTCTAAGCTATTGATCCTACATGTAGGTTCTTAAATGGTGGCCTACAAGATGTCAACGATAGAAATAAGAATATAATTTTAATTTAATAACAAATTTTCTGAGACTTCTGACTGATTTGAATCTATCACACCCTTTTAATTAGCAAAATACACAACTAAAGATCTTGCTCAATAATAACAATAACAATAACTTAATTGAAGGTGTGAATTTAGATGGTTAAATCTCATTCATTGTTACTCTAATACTGGTAATTGTATTTTCAGTGAAGAGCTGATTTTTGTGGCATGAATTTGCAATGATGCATGTTTATTCCGCCTCTCTTTCTACTTCTCTCTCCCTTTCTCCCTCCCTCTCTCTCTCTCTGACTTTTTCTCTCCTCCCCTTTTCTCTCTTCCTCTGTCACTTCATTGCATATGATAAGCGGCTATGATTTCAGCGGCCTACTATCTTGTCACTATTAATCAAAGCAATTCCAAATTCCAAATCTGCATTCCTTATGTGATCCACAGATTAATTAATGCATTATTGAATTGGAATGAGTAAACTGGGTCGGCAATTGAATAAGTGATCCACAATGAATATTAGAAGACGATGGGGCACAGATGTTGTTGGCATAGCTCCACCCTCGAGTGCCTATTTAGCTTTCCATCCCTTCAGGCTATTTCCCAGTAATCTATTTACAACATGCACATTACATGTAATTGGGGCACAATCTGTTTTTCTTCCTATGAGACATTGTTTTCATGTATGAAGATTAATAATTTCCCTTTCATTGAACGATTTTATCCGCTCAAACGTGTGGTTATCACCACTTTCTAAATCTTTGTCAGATGTTTGAATATAAATTGTTTTGATTTTATTTCTCATTGTTTTAAAAGTCAAACTTCAGAAGAATTTATTGATTAAAAAAAGAAAAGAATTACCAATTTTAAATTAGAGAGGACAGACACATATACATGTACTTAATATTGTACTTTAAATGTGCCCAGTAGTCTTAAATATTAATGAAAATACAACCTGAAATTAAATTTTTAGAGTGTGTATTAAGTGCAAATTTGTTCGAATGAAGTCAATGGAAAATTTGAAATTTGTCTCCATTTTGTAACCTGGGCATGGTTCCATGAACCAATTCTCAAAACAGCATCATAGAATAAGCCTTGATACCATTACCTTCTATTGTTCATGCTTGCCTAGTCTCAACTTCTTTTGAAGCAAATATATACATACAGTCGTGTTGTTAGTGGACGTCATTCAGGTCTTAAACGTCCTATGTCTTCTTGGAATTTCTCTTTTTCCCCTTTCTTATCAAGATTTTAAGTGTAATTTGGAAGAGATAAAAAGATTTAAATGATGACGGGATAATGGTGTAATGTGTACAAGAATACTGCTAGTAAATAATTGTTAACAATAAGAAGGCATCCCTAGAAGTAATATTCAAAAGGGTTACCCTAGGTCATATTGAAAATAGACATGCACCGTCGCCGCCATGTTGTCATCTTATATATTTTCTTCTTCCAGTTAGCAATCTTGTTTGCGGAATGTTGTGATCCAACAATTTCTCTCAATGTGTAAAAGAATACTGTTAGTGAATAATTGTTAACAATTAGAAGGCATCTCTAGAACTAATATTTAAAAGGGTTACCCTAGGTCATGTGAAAATAGACATGCACCTTCGCCGCCATGTTGTCATCTTATTTATTTTCTTCTTCCAGTTTAGCAATCTTGTTTGCGGAATGTTGTGATCCAACAATTTCTCTCATTTCCTACTCGTCATGCAATCATTTCCTGTATTTCCCTCTTGTCATGAAGGAGTGAGAGGGAGGGGTTAGTCACTCTTCACTCTTTCAATACAGCGCTTCTACTAAACTCTCCCCTCGATGTGCACAACAAACTTCTTCATGTACATGCCATTATACGTTTGTAAGGTCTCCATGCCCAATATTTGAATTTATCCGTGCCTCTTTCCTTGTAGGCCTTTGTAGTTTTTTGTGACTGTTGAAACAGAAAATTGTGTCAATTCTTCATTACCTATACAGATTATTCTTTTTGTTTTTGTTTTGAGAACTGGTTAATCATGCCCAGGTTACAAAACAGAGACAAATTTTTTCTAATTTTCCATTGATTTAATTCTATGATAATTTCATGACAGATTTGGTTGAGTGAGTGTCATGTGTAGTTGCTTTCCTAGAACTTCGCCATTGTACACTTCACGTCAATATGTGTGAATGTTTTCATTGAACAGCTAGAAATATCAATATAATCACACTCTCAAAAGGTTATGACCAGATAATCAAACAGAAGCTCTTTCAAACAATCAATTTTAAGGGGGACGGAGAGTATGTAGGTATTTAAATTTTTAAAGCACCTTTTTTCTTTATTAGGTGCCCTCCCATCAAAACGTTTGCTCAGAGTGATTGATAAAAGAGGCCAATGTATTGTAACAAAATGATTCACTGACCTGGGTAAATATTTGTACGTGAGGAGGACAGAGAATACTGAGAGAATCAGGTGTATTCTCAAGAGCAATATCAACATTTCAATAATACTCTACTTGTGTGTTTAATACAAGGGGTACAGGGTTCACATTCTATGGTCCAAGGGTTTGCCCAGCATGAAACACAATATTTCCGATTGATTTAGTTTCATACATGATAATATTTTTTTGTATTGGTTATAAATTTGGTTTGTAGTGATTTGGGGTGATTGGCTAGAAAGTAAATAACACGTTGACCTACACTTATTGGGCGATGTTGGTGGATATTTTTAAAGCTGATATTTCACTGATTGCTTTCAATCCCATCTTATTAAGAGACAATTATACACTTTGTATGTTTGGAAATCAATGACTTATGAAATATGGAAATCTATACATTTTTTCTGATAATATGTATTTTTACAACAAATAATGATATAATCAGGCCTGAAAATGACCCAATTTAAATTGGTTTCCTGATTTTGTGGGATTTTTTCCTGATTTCTTCCCGATTTTCCCCCCTCATAAGCGGGGGAATGTTGTTAGATGCCATTCCCTCCCCCCCCCCCCCGAATCCTCTTTTAATTTTTAATTTTAATTCACCCCTGTATAATGTAGAGGGTGGCAAGGCAGAAAGAAGATTGTTATAATTTCAATTTTTATGTCATGCAATGTATAAGTTGTATTATTAGGCAGTCAAATAGAAAAGACAATTATTTTGATTTCATATATTAATTTGTTACTTGGTAAAAAGAAATTATATGATATCTTTATCGTTCTTTCAGATGGGCGTCCCATTCGCAGAGAAGGAGTCAGTTATCCCGGTGGGAGCAATCTTTTGATAAGAAAAGTTCGCTACTCACTGGACAATGCAACCTATCGCTGCCATGCTACAAACCCACAAACAGGCCAATCCATCTCGGCTGAAGCATGGCTGGATGTCATGTGTAAGTTAATCCTTTATACCATCTTTTATTAATTAGTGTGTAGAGTTTCATTTGGGTGTATCATTATCCTGTCAGAATATATATTAAATGCTGTCGCATTTGTCTTGTTTTTACATATGATAGAGTTATCATGAAGGCACGATGCATGTATTGAAAACAGTTTTATTATGATTAATATTCTATAGTTTTTGCTATTTACTTATATGTAATTTTTCACCAAATGTGATAATTCCAAACATTTGTTTTCAATATCAACATGGTGCAACATTTCTGTGCATTTAATAATCTATTGCATGAATTGTTATCTTTCTTGTATTCCCAGCCCCACCTGTAATCACAGTGGTGCCTCCGGTCATTCACAACAAGGTCATCGGAAGCAAGATCCGATTCTGGTGCCAGGCGACGGGTAAGCCACTCCCGCAGATCACCTGGCTTCACAACGGCGTGCCGGCGCTCATCGATGACTTCCATAGCCACATGAACAACAATGACTATGTGATCTCCCAGCTGTGGTGGGAGGATGATGGCATCTACCAGTGTGAAGCCAAGAATGATGCTGGTAGTGCTGTAGCGAGTGGAGCGGTTACCATCGATGCATGTAAGTAGTGGTTTCTGGACTGTAGGATAGCTGCATATAGTCATTAGCTTGATTTTCATTTAGTGGGGCTGAACCTGTCCTCGATCTCTTAGTGGTTCGGCTCATGGAATCCTTCTGAAGAAAATGTAACATTGACTGTATTACATCATCATTTTACATCATTAACCAAAAAAATGCAGTCGTTTGCTGTTTTATATATGAACAAGGCTCAAAGTCGACCTATTTAACATGACAAAGAAAAAAAATCCAATGTTTTTTCAAAATGAATAAACCCATGTGCAAGGGTTTTGATTTGAATCATATTAGGTAAAGCCCAGGATAGAATAGGATGCTCTGACATATACTCTGGCAACAATCGCTCCAGTATTCTAAGGGATAGGTTATGGGTTAGGTTTTAGGGTTAGAGTTAGGATTTGCTAGGGGGTTTTGTGCAGGATTGAGGTATTGACTTTGGAGCCATTGTCATTGGAGGATGTGTCTTACAACTACAGTATAGAGATACTCTAAATATATGGTGCTATTTTACAATTATATTTTTGTCTTTCACGTTGAATTGTTTCCTTGCCTCATACAGATCCGGAGGGCACGTACCCAGGGCCTATCCGTAACCTCTCCATCAATCTGATCTCTAGTCGGAGGATAAGGGTGACATGGGAGCCTCCTGCCGATCTACCTGCTCCAGTCATAGCTTACCACCTGGAGTGCAGACCATTAGCAGGGGGTGAGTAATACGCCCCTCTCCTGGGATTCACTTGCGGGGGATGGGGAGAGGGTTGGGGTTGGGGGTGGGGGTGGGGGGTTGGCAAGAAAATGAACAGGGATGACAGTTTTTCAGGCCGTGGTCCGATTTTAGTTCCTCTTCACCTCTCAATTTCAGCCTTTTCAGACATGATATTGTATATACAACACATATGGAAATCCAACATGTCAGTTATCTTTTTTCAGGCTCATTAGGTGAAACCAATCGGTATCCCTGAAAAAAAGGATAGTGGGGAAAAGAGGAAGGAGTAAACTGAAATATTTAAAAAATAAAAACATTAAAAAAAGACAAACCGGGTAGAGCTTCTTCTTGTCTGTTTTCTTTGATCATAGAACGGAAATAGCGTCCGAGTCTCGAGGCATTCTCACCTTGAAAACAAGTAATCAAAGAGAATTCAAAGTACTAGTAAATGTTTGTTACAGACTATTAAACTAGCTGAGCTACATAAATTTCAGTGCAAACAGCAATTTTATTCATGTAGACAGAGATAGAATAATGGAATCATGTATCTCCCTTCTGATATAGATTTGGATGCAGACGAGCAAGTGGTGTCCAGCCCGTCCTGTGACCTGAACGCGCTGGAGCCGTACACCGAATACAGGATCACCGTGCAGTGCTTCACCACAAAGGCACCGTGTCCACGCTTTCAAGAATATGTGATGACTGCACAGGATGGTAGGTATTGTTTCTTTACTGATGGTCGTCTGTGAGGAGATTAAGAAATAGAAAGAATCTTCAATTTCTTGGTTTAAGCATCACCCATGACAATAGTTTATTCATGTGAAATATTGTTCAGATCAACATTTGGATAGGGCTTTGAAACAGTGCCATTTTGTAATCTTTAGGAACAGGGGTGTTGCTGATTACAGACAGGAAAAGGAAAATTCAACAAATTTAGTGGGAAATCCAGATTTGTATTAAGTAAAAAAATCTTATCTTAAACTGCTCAAAGAAGTATATTAGATCATTTTGCAGCATAGGGATTATCAATTAGTACGCAGGAAAGGAATCATTCAATGGCCAAATTTATAAACTTTTATTCATACTGGCTAGACCTGTTCCTCGTTTGTTGTATTCTTTAGCTTTGGTACGTTATTTCTTATGAAAAGCCATACCTAAAATGAAGACGAACCAAGTTTTAACAATGTCATTTTGTATTGAAAAACAGTTATTTATTGCTTCTGTATACTTGTGTCTTTTGTCCCTGAACAGTTCCTACAGGTAGTCCAGAGTTTTCCTTAGGGAGCGAAAGCCCGACCACCATCACTGTCACCTGGGATGAGCTTCACCCTCATCGCGCTAACGGCATCATCATTAACTATGGCATCACTTATTGCCGTGCCAACAGCGTATATTGCAACGTGACAACGGTAGACGGGGACCTTGAGGAGTACACCATTCGTGGTCTGACACCCAATTCCAACTACAGTGTGAGCATGGCTGCGTCAACCGCGGTTGGGCAGGGGAGCTACTCGGGCAATGTTACCGTTGAAACACCAAGGAACATCAATGAGACAAGTAAGTTGGTTTCAAGTACCTCTTGATAGGGGAAAGGGAATGGGGAGTAGAGTCAAGCTAGTTGGATAACTGGCAAATTTTGGGGCAGGTATGTTCAGGAGAGCTAGTCGGGGACAGTGGCTCCACAGTTCATCTCGAATTTACCCTGCCCGAATGCCCTATTATTTATAAAGTCTAGAAGCCTGATCTGTCAGCTGTGCTGATAGTTTAGCATGTTTTGCTTTGATTCCTGTAGGGGACCCAAGTGTGGATATGTAGCAGTGATCATTTCACGTAAAATGAATGGAAATTTGATACCTTTTTGTGTGAAAATTAGCATAACAATTCAATCAAAATTCTCAATCATACGTAACATGTGTAAGTGAATTTTTAAAGAATGTATTTTCACCGGCATATAGAATTGTTATTGTTTTGCTTTAATTAATTATTTGCTTCTTCTCCTATGTGATGTACCATGATCACCATTACAACATAAAGTGGACATTACATAACTTTGCTTTCTTATTTGCTCCTTGTAGCCCCAAAGCCACCATTACATTTGCAAGTGTTACCGGTGAACCACACCACATTAAGAGTAAGCTTCCAGCCAGCACCTACCCCACCCATCACGGAGGGCTACAAACTATTGGTATCCAGGAACATGGCTAACAATTGGATCACCTATCTCTTACCTGTGGACACCATGGAGTACTATGTTACAGGCCTAGGTAGGTCAACTTCATTTCATATCAATTTCATTTTGGAGTGTTTTATATGTTTCTTTTCTTTTTTTTGGGGGGGGGAGGGGGCAGTATACTGTGTTTAGTTGACCCTTTTTATTTTGGTCAGGTTTTATGATTTTTTTTAAATTTAATTTTTTTTTTTTTTTTTTTTTTTTTTTGGGGGGGGGGGGAGAATTATAGCAGATTTGGTAGGAAACAGTTGACAGTTTGTAACAGCTTATTTGTGAATTGTTAGTCAGTCCCTAGTTCTTTGCTAGCCTTTGGTCTTACATGCCTTAGAAATTGTAGTGAGCTTTTGATATGGTACAACATACTTGGAAAATCAAAATGTGTTTACAAAACAGAACCCAGAACTAGGGTATGTCTTTACTCTGGAGTAACTCGTTGCAATGGCTGTTCTGTGTAGTGTGAGAGAACAAAAATCTCCTGGTACTCTATAAAATAATTATGTTAATAAATCATCATATGGTTGTGAACCATATGTTTTCGGTGAAATTTCTTAGAGTGAAATAGATGGCTTAATTGGAGTGAAACAGATGGCTTAGTAGGTCCAAATACATCGTATTATTAATGATGGAATTGCATTTGTGTGGGTTGCTATCCTGAAAGATTGCCAATTGAATAAGATTTTTTTTTAATTTGGTAAGATACGTATGATTGATTTTGAACAAATATGTTTGTCCGTCGGATGTTAAGTTTTATGTTGTGTGTGAAATACTGCTGATAGATTGGCAGACGATGTCTCCATTTTTGTAGAACTCTTTTATCACTAATCACAACATTAAAGAATTGGAAAGAAGAACAAAGAAATGTCTTCATTTGTACTCTGGGAATCATTTACGCTTGAAATGTGAACAGATCCCTCAACATTTGATGCGCTACTATCTGATTTTTGAAAAATAAAATGTAAAAACAGTGACTGCTATTAGCTTGAGTGCTCATACAATATGTATTAGAAAGATGGTCATTTCAAATCCGCTGTATGTCACCATAATGCACATTGTGGTTGAATAACTGATTTATTTCAATTATTCAGCTTAAGGGGATTCCTACTTTTGTAATGATTTAATTTGTATGAAAGCAGAAAAAACGATGATTGGCAAATTTCAACATTCAAGTCAACAGTCATATACCAGATATAAAAGCCATAGACTGCCAATTATCTAGGGCTCCAATGTCTTGATTATGTTCGCAATAGGTAAGAATAACTGTTTTGGAAATCTACATCTTACAACATATTTTTGAATTAATTTTGACATTATGATTAATATCCCAAACCGCAGTAGTCCGCACCTAGGGTTACAATGGATCCGTTCAAATATTAGTCACTATCCAAGCAAGGGCGTTGATAATTGTGTTATAAAACTTGTAATTCTTCAAACATCGTTAATTCTGTGGTATTTCTTGGAATAATCACGTTGTGTGCAGAATTATGTGTTCAGTTGGAGAGCTTTGTATTCACCAAAGTATATTCCTGTGCCTTTCCACTATTTGTATGGCATTGACTTGCCCAACTCCTTCATTTTATTTTACCTCAGTAAAATTGGTGTATTCCCATTGTTGTTTCATAGTGCATGACCAAAATAGATGGTTTCCTGGAAACTCATACTCTGTATGTTTTATTGCTATGATACATGTTTGAATAATTGAACAGTCAGAGATTGACAAAGCTCGAGATGGTACGAAAAACCACAGCTGAATATTTTAACTTTTTCTGTATGGAAGAGATTAAGTGGCTGTTATCAAATGCCTAATGATAAAAAACCTAATCATTTCAGTTTACCGTTTGATGTCATTTTAGAACTTAGAGCTAACAACTAGTTACAGTTCTCTACCCGCCATGAGACAAATAAGTGGTCATTCACCAGGCCTGATAATTACCTGATTTAAATTGGTTTTCCGATCCCCCCCCCCCCCCCCCCGATTGAGGGGAAAAAGACCTCCTTTTCTTTTTTAGTGCTCACTGTCACTCCTGTTCACTCAGATTTATTCTACCTGTGTGTTTTTATTATTTTTATTTGAAACATGATTAGATTTGGCAATGATTATGAATTATTCTTTTGAAGTTTATAAGCATATTGATAGCAGTATTTCAGGAAAGTTACATTCTTTCTTAAAGGCAATCCAATCTTTATAATTATTCCATTTGTATGAAAGCAGAACATACAAAAGACAGGCAGAAGTTTGAATAAATGAGGCAAATAATAAGATAGTTGTGAGTGCGTGAAATATGAGATCACTTAAAAGCTATGCGAATCTCAACTCAATTGGCAATTTGGTTACTGGATTAAATCAATAGTTATGTCTTCAAAGAGGTGCCGGTTAACTAAGATATATTTTCTCTTAAATGCTGGTGTGATGATTGAGTAGAATTCAAGTACCGGTAAAATAGATATCACAACCTCAATGGCATGGATTAGGTACTAAAATGAACTTTGCATTTGAAATAAAGGAAAGAAAGAAACTAAGGCAACTATTGTGTTTTAGAATAATCTCAATTGGTCATCATGGCTCTCAGCCAAATTGACCAATCTCAAGTGGACTAAAGCTTCCTGGGAAGGGAGCTGCCATGAATTCTCAGAAATATGAGAGAGAGAGGCCGTAGGCGTAGTAGAGTTCAAACACCTTCAAAACCTGCTGGTAGTCGAGAGCCTTCAAGAATATTGATGAGATGTGGTCTGTTTTTTTAAAAGCTAATTGGCTTGTAAAAATGACAAAACATTTGTATTTTTTCGATATCTCTTCATTGGCCTTTTTGGGGTATATTCCCCCCGGAGTTACATGTACATACAAGATGTAAGATTTTTTTTCTTCGGTGATAACCTTTCGGTCAGCTACTTCACGTTTTAAAAAGGATAAGATAAAAAGGTTAAACAGCGAAGGTCACAATTCTTCAGTGAGTGAGTCTGGAAGTAAAGGCTAGGTAACAGAAGTTTTCTTTCTATTCCTTGTTTGATATTGGTTGCTAGGGAACCTCAAACTTTATCCCTTTCTGAGTAAGAATTTCCTGATTGAAACCCAACAAGGAATTCATATAGAAATGAAAGTTTGATACTGAGAAAACACAATCACATATGATATTAAATTTAATTTGTGAAGGGGGAGGGGAGGTTCCATAACGCCATTTTCAACTTCTAGGACAACAAACAAAGGGGAAAAACAAAAGCCATTTTATGTGAAAATGAATTAATAAATTGAAGTGGTGGTGAGATTTTTTTTGGTTGCAGCATGCTATAAATACCACTGAATGTATTTACTTATCCATATAGATTAAGATACTTACATTTTTATTCTGCCACCATGTGTTTATTTATGTTTTTAAATTTACCTCATGAATTGCTAATAAGACTGTACAGGGTCAGCTAAGCTTGATATCAGGTTTTTGTGTGTAATCAGATGATGAGAATGAGAGAAAGTAAAAGAAAAATGAATTCAGGATATCCAGTAAGAGGAGAGAAGAAAGTTCTTTGTCCAAATTAAGTATCGCCAAATCAAGATACGTCACAAGAATATGTACACTGGAATGAGCTCCTAGGTTTCTGCATGATAAGAAACTGACCAACTTGAACCTGATTCTTCTCTCCATTGCAAATTGATTTCTGAGCAGCAGATAGTAGATGGCACTTTACTTACAAGCTATCAGTGCACTGTGTGATTGTGTAATAATCCAGGTCCAAGTTGTTGATGTGCTATTTATTAATATTCAGTATCGAGTGGACGGGTTTCTTCAGAGTGTCCACCTGAGAAAGGTACTTGGAATGCTGGACTCTTCGTTGTATTGTGTTGAACAGTCTCATATCCCAGTTTTCAAGAAGACCTTTTGTAGAATTCCTCGATAATGAAGTTTTTTTGCCCCTTTATAGGCAATGCACTCTACTCATTCTCTCAATTTAAAATTTGAAGACCGATAACATGTGTTCTTGTTTCAATTTCATCGACAGGGTTCATTATAATTTGTTCATACCAATGAGTGGCGAATAATTCAAACCTTTAACGTTTGACTTATTCCATACCTCTTTGCCTTAGTCATAAACTGTACCTTCATGCTTCTTCACTTATCACTTATGACACAATGAACCGCAGCATTTTTCTCTTTTATAATGACATTTGCATACTTCACTTCACGTTTCTGTATCGTATAACACACGTATAAGTGATTACACTTACAGTATTATACGCACAGCTATTACTTCTTCACCCCCAGTTGCTATTTGCTTACACGTATAAAACAAACAACAACAACAAAATGTGGTAAACCGCTGCATGAATCTAGGTATTTACAGTACATGGGATCTGGGCTTGTAATTAGATGCATTTTGAGGTGGTTTGTTTTCACCTGTTCCGAGTCCTGAAGCACGACTAGATGACGTCAGAGGTTATCTAGTTCTAGGTCACCGGTTTGTCTTGTTAAGCTAGCTTGCATGTATTTCTTAGATATCTCCACTTCTCACCGGAAGTCCTAGATGTATTTACTACCGTGCTCCTACCGCCCGGTAATTATTCCTTTGCATTTAGATGGGTTATTTGGGTAGATTTTATAGTTTTTATATTTTTATTCTATGATGGGAATCGAGCAGGCAGGACTTTGATGAAGCCCACCATCATTGCTGATTATCTTTAAAGATAATGCAAAGTTTTGGGAATTTTTGAAAATTGGATGGATAGTATTTCTTTGGAATTTTGATATATTTGGATGCCCCTGTGGATGTATTATAAGCAATAGAAAGTTAGCCCCTGTAACACGTACTTGTGCTTTCAAGAAAGTGAATAATCAAAATTTACCGGTGCTCCCAGTAAAATTCAAATATTTCAAACAGCGCCTAAGGCCATTCCATGGTAGCTGCGAACATGAAAATCTCAGAATATGCAGTTCTGATATATAATTTCCAAACGGGAATAGCAAATCGGTCGATTGTAATCAAGAAACATTGTTTTAAAGCTAAAGTGATATCACACTTGAGAGGGAGCTATACAACATTAAGAGTTTTTCATTTACAATTTCATCACTGTAGACTCAATTTCAACTGCGACAATGATCATTTGATATTGTAAAATCGCATATATGCTTCCAATATGTTCATTTGAACCAAATTCATGACCCCATACCAAAACTTTGTATTATCTTTAATATATTATTCACAGTGTACATATAGATTTTTGTTCACTGGTATTCTTCAGGATTAAATGTTAAAATTGTCTTTTCTCAGGGGGCTCTATTTTTTTCTCCAATTTCTGTACTTAAGTCATCCTCTGTTCCTATGTATGTTATTTGCTTGTATACAGAGATTTATCTTTATTGATCAGTAAAATAGAAAAGTATTTGGTTATGTATTGAGATGGAGTATATTTTTTTTCTTCACTAAATTTTTCATCGATTATAAAAAAGGAAACTAGGTAGTTAAAATAATTGTAACCTTTGCTGTTTAACCCTTTATTTATTTCTTTTTAAAACATGAAGTAGCTGACCGAAAGGTTATGAATGGATAATGGAGTACCGACTAGTACCGACTAGTACCGACAGAAAGAGAGTTTTCACAGCTGTATACATAGAGTAAAACAAACCATATATTGATTACCAGCTAGAATGGCGTAGCGTTGTTATTACTAGTTTCTCACGGGCAAACAATCCCATGAACATTGATTGACCCATTTACTTTTTTTATTGGGCTCAGCTCTTATACATCCAACCAAAGTTGAAAATCACCATGAATTCTGTCGCTTGCAGAGCAGCCAGTGATGTTGTGTGTCAATTCACACCTGCAGCTCCTACAGTGAGTCAAATTTTGCTCACACAAAGCTACACGAGCGAGTTGAATAGGTATATTGGTCACTTACAGTGAATATATTTTTTATTTTTTATTCTAAGCATGAATGGTTTGAAATTTGTAATGTGGAATTTGTTGAATTCCTCTTATCGGCATACTTAGCAAAAAGTCTTTTTAATTTGACATCTGAAAAATGTATAGGTATATATATATATATATATATATAAATATATTTATAGTATTTAGATTCTTCATTACAATCATTGTCTGTGTGATTGTTAATTGTAATGAAAATCAAATAAATTGCTGTTCATGCATTTCTATAACATGCTTATTACCATAGTTATTAAAATGTAAGTATTGTATGGATAGCCAATGACATTTTATAGCATGTCTAGTTAGAATCACTACTTAATGTCTGTTCTGACACTTGGTTAATCGATTAAAAGTGAGGGTACACTGTAGATTTATTTATATTGCTCTAATCATTTGACATGTTGTAGTGATTTACAATTGGTTTCAAGTTCATCTACCCTTGACTTTTAACATTATAACTAATTGTAATAAATTGTACATGCTTCTGCCTCAGTAGGCCCAACAAGCAAGCACATGCCTTTGAGTGCAGTAAGCATCAGTATACACTCCATGCCGTATGTACGTGCGGTGTGTAGCAGCAGCATCGCATCCTTGCCCTATGCAACCATGACCCATCTGTTGTCCGCTTTCTTCGCTTGTGCCTACTCTGAGCTGAGTGGTCAACCATTTTGAATTTCATTTGTGGAGCGAGGGAGCGAGCGGGAGTGAACGGTCCGATCCTCCCTTGCGGTGCCTCTTGCATGAGATGTTTACCTGGCTATTTGAGTTTTTTTTTTTGTTCTCAATTTTTTGCAAGCCTGTTCTTTGGCACGAAGCCAAAGTCTTCAAGCATGAAGCGCTTGATTATGGACTTGGCCATAAGCCCTTGACCCAGAAAGATAGGGAAAAGAGGGGGGGGGGCCAACAGGAAGGATGACCTAATGAAATTGAACAAGAAATGGCCACCGACGAGTCATTCATCTTTGTGTGTGTGTGTTATGGGTGTGTAATTCTTTTCTTCTTTGTAGGCCTGGAAGAGAGAAAGAGAGGGAGAGAGAGGAGAAAAAAAACACCAAAATATGTGATGACGTCAGTAAATGAGGAGTTATGAATGGGAAGCTTTGTTGGTAGGGTGAGAAGGTCCTGTGGTCGGTATTGGTTAGATCTTCGTGATATGAATCGACATCTCTTGAGTTTGAGTGATTCTCTCCATATATGGGCTAAAGTTCTTGTTTGGTATTTTGTTTAGTGATGGTTTGATTAACAGAAAAGAAATGATCAATGTTGGACATTATCTTGATGACAATGTTCCCACAAGTATACATGTAAATATGGTCTATTTTCTACACTTCCAGAATATTCCTACATTGTAATTATTCCAACCCTGGATCAAACACTATACCTAACCTGCATCCTTTAACCTAACCTAAAACCTAGTTGAAACACTAACACCAACCCTTCATTTGCCTGGAGCGAATTGCTGTTGAAGTTAGTTTGTAAAATCATCTAATGAAAAAGTGTATCAGCACTGATGATTAATTAGGTAAAGAATATAAGGATGTAAATAGCCTGCCTTTTTGTTCCCTCAATACACACAAATGGAAGGCCTTTTAATAATGCAGTGTTTGTGTAATCTTTTCACAAACGCTGCATTTTTCACTCACCACTACAAAAACTTGACCCGTACTAGATTCACCCACCCACGCGTGCAACCACCAAGTCCATTTCATCATCGCTACTTCATTTGAATAATTCCACACTGACCAGTACAAAACTGCCAAGCCATGGCTGTAAAGTGCTCGAGGCCATTGGTGATGCGTAGTGTGGGGTTGATGTTTGCTCGGTCTTTGGCACTCAGATAGCAAGAAGAAGTGAAATATTGGTATTTGGTCTCGTTAGCATTTCATATTATGAACTCCCTAATGAATCATGGTCCGCTGGACTGGAGGCCATCTTAATGGAGTTGGTTTATAATTTTTTATGTGTCACTGTACGTGTTGCTTATTCTCTCCCATTTATGATGGCTGATTGAGTTAGGGATATTTCGAATGCATAGCGATTTACACCATTGTAGATGTGGGAAATCTAAACGTTTTGTTTTCTTTCTTTCTTACAAGATGGTCATTGCCCTCTTCCTTCAATGTATATTTAATGCTCTAACTATGATTCATACAAAGATAAAAGGGAAAGAGATTCGAAGGGTGCTGTATTAATATGAAAAAACCCATAGCTGATAAATTCTCATGAATTATCTACATTCTCTATTTGGATTTAATGGTTCTTAAACTATTCAATTCAATGGCATGCATTTAATGAAAGGGTAGAATAATATATGCAGTAGAAAAGGAAGTGGTATTAGACTGGCAGTGTGTTACATTAAACTCACAGTGCAACAAGCATTTCGAGTGTTGAACTAGCATGAGGTAATTGATGGAGATATATTAAGAAATTTCTATATTAATTATTTAATGCACAAAAGTTTCCTTCAGAAATTTGCTCAAATAAGTCAATATATAGGCATGAAATCTGCGTCAGAAGAGATAATTCTCAAGATTAAGAAACCTAAATGAATCAAGTGAATTCAGCCTATGGACAAATTCTATGTCATATTTTGATATGACACTAAAAGATATATATATATATATATATATATGTATATATGTCAGTCTTAGAAGTTGTGAATATTTCAATGTTAATCATCTATCCTTGTTGCAGAAAGTATTTCGTTGTTACATCAAGTTGAAATGATATTACAAAACAACTCTTTTACTCTAGTTCCTTCTCAGAGGAATAACTTGTAATATCAATTTTGTTTGTAAAATTGTCAAACCTAAATATTAACAATTTTAAATATTATTTTTTCCTCCATTCTAATAGATCAAAACACACTGTACAACGTGCATGTTCTTGGGTTCAACAGTTTCGGTGATGGTCGGCCGTCTGCACAAACAATCAAGACATTAGTAAAACAACCAGGTATGTAACAAATAATTTGTAACAAATAATTTGTTATCCAGTGTAAACCACTAGATCATGCATGAATCACATGAGGTTCAAACCGTTTTTTATCAGATTCTGTTATTTTCTGAATACCTGAGATTCAGAAAGGCTCCGTTTGTCATATTGAATGATAATTGACAAAGGAAATCAGAAATATAATGGTTAATCTGACTAATAGTGAAGATGATAATGAGACTAATTAGGATGTTGGTTGGAATTTCATAGCACTTTAGAGAGAAGATGTATATGATTGAAGTTATGATATTGGTCACCTGTAAGGAAGCATCAGTAATGATAAATTAAAGTAAAAAATATTAGTATGTAATGTGTTGACAGAGAAATTTGCCTGCCCATTGTATACATTTCTGTTGGAGTGTATTTTGTAATTGAGTGAATTGAAATTGCTCCCCCATTTTCATGATTTAGAGAGAAATATTGAATGAGTTTAATTTGTTATCATAGTGCTTTGTACAAGCTTGTCTACAAATTTCATAGCGAACCGTACTGCATTGATGTGTTGCAATTTGCAAGATTGAGAAGGAAAAAAATGAGATGATCATACATTTCCATCTTTGTTTGCATACAGATATAGGCGACCCGATGGACACATTACCTCCTCCGTTCGTCTTCAACGGCACTGGGAAATCAGGCAGCACCATCCTCATTCAGTGGGAGGAACCAATGACAGACAAGAAGATCACTGCTTTTACCATTGAGTATGAGGTGTTTAGAGCGAATGAATCCTTCATTGTGCAAGTGGATGGGTAAGCTGAAATCATTTTCAGATATTCAAAAACAAAATATATTATTATTTTCTTTGAAAAGCTCCTTTGATTGACATGTAACTCTTTGTCGAGAATGACTTGAGATACAATTGACTATAATCATGTAATATCCTTGCACTTTATGTCATGCTTGTTTGTATTATATTTAATTAGATGGTACAAGAGAGAACTATCAACAATAATTTGCTTTACAAAATTTGATATCATTGTATTTTGTTCAAAATTGCATTCTAAATTTCTGCATTGTAGACATTTTCCCCTTTTTTATTGAAACATTGTTTGCGTTATCTACTAAACTCTGTTCTGCTTCTCATTTCCACCTATCTGAATTTGATTGTATCCTCCAGTAAATCAGTCTCACTATTTCTGTGTACTCTCCCAGATGTATGTACCATAACAAGTTTATTTCTCTCCTCCAGTCTTGCTAAACCTTTTGTTTTAATGCAAAATGTCAACCACCAATGCGTGTCTTTCCCCCTGATTGTCTGTCATACAGGTCTAAACATGAGGTAATGCTGACGAACCTGGAGCCTTTTACGAGGTATACCTACCGTATCCAATCTGTTGGCACAGCACCATACCCAGGTCCATTCAGTCCTAAGGCACTCGCCGAGACACTCGAAGACAGTAAGATATAACCCATACACTACTGGATTTTGTCATTCCTTTTAGGCTTTGACCAAGATTCAACTGGCTATCAAAGGCTATGGGTTACCTAGCCCTCATCTAATGTGAACCAACTGATATTGCAGCGCTAGATAAACACCAGCCTCTGTTTTTATGATTGAAATTGCTGATGACTTCTGTGCCCTGTAACATAAAAATGGACTCACTTTCAATTGTAAATATCTATTGTGCCTTAGAAGTTGCTGCATTTCATTTTTTTTTCTTACTTTTTTGTACCCTTCTCTAATATAGAATTTATTTTTAGGTTACTAACAATTTTAAAGATACCATTACTTAGAGGGGAGATACAGTTAATCTCAACTCCTTCTGTTACAGGACCATGGTTGTTTATTACATTGGAATTGTGAAGAACACAAGAAAAAAAGTAACTGAGTAAAATGGGTGATGTTTTCCATAAAGTTATATTAGGGGTCATCGAGAAGGATTTAATGTTATCTTGATGAGCAAACTGTAAAAAGGAACAAGCGCATCATCCAGTCACCTGAAACATAGTTGTGATAATGATCCTCTTGTCTTGCTATTACAGAACCATCAGACCCTCCATCTGCAGTGCAGGCAAGCCCAGTGAACTCTAACACGGTGGAGGTCAGTTGGAAACCTCCAGCTAGACCTAACGGGATCATCACTCGCTATACAGTCATGTATCAGAAGGACTCGTCTCTGCCCGAAGAGAGCTGGGAGTATGAACAGAAAGATGGTAAGTGATTTTTAAAAAATAAAATCAACACCCCTCCCACCTCCACTTTACCTCTCCTCCCCTTCTGCTCCGACCTATGCCACCCCACCCCCCTCTGTCATGTATCAGAGGGACCCCTCACCCCTTCACCCCCTGGAGAGAGTAGTAATAATACAGTCAAACCTGCTTTAGTGACCACCTGTCTACAACAAGCACATTCTTTGTCTCCCTTGAAAATGGTTTCTCATTGAAACATGTACTAAAGGAACCTGTCTACAAAGACAACTTTTTGTGTTTCCCTTGGGCGGTCGCTGTAGACAGGTTTGACTGTACATGAATCATTCCTTGGTGTGTATGCCTGAGCATCTATTATTCTACTGAACTTCTTGATAAAGATGATCTTTTTAAAGGTTTGGTTCATGTGTAGTTCAAAGCAGGTAAGGACTTGCCCAATTCTTAACCCTGGCATGTATATGATTTACTTTTGAATGTGAATGGGGCTCAGATTGTACACTTTGGTAGGAGAACCTTTGTAAAGTCTACATGTAGGTCAAGGTCAAAACCTGTCATCTCTGGTATATAATATAAATATGTCTGTGGTACTAAACCAAGACATGTCTTTATGAATAGTGTACAGACCATCTTTGTGAGTGCCTGCTGAATGAAAAGTGCTGAGATGACTGTTTATATGGTACATGCATTAGGTCAGTATGATTTATTACTACGGAGCTGTATCGTGGGGTCAGGCAGAATATTAGGTGGGAGGATCATAAGAAAATAAAGGTAATTCCATTGAAATGAAATACAACTAAAAAGGGCACCCAGTAAACAAGCTAGTTAGCTCAGTGAAAAGGTATCTTGGCAACGCTTGCTAGAGCATAGTTGACATGTTTTGTTTAGCTGTGTTTGTCAAAAAGGAGGTGAAAATAATTTCAGATTTCATGCAGTTCTTATCAAAGCTGTAGATGATAAGTGAAAGTCATTCACATTTTATTTGATAATAAGCAAGTAACAGGATGGTGAATAATATCCTTACCCTATGCAGCTGAATGATAGAAAATGGTCGCCCAAGGAACATATTATATGAAATATCAGTGCAAGGCTATGATGTAAGCTTTACAAAATTGACATCGACTTTTAAATATGTGAATAAAATTAGAAATTGTGACATCGGAAATTTGTGTGATTTTTCTATCAGAGCATGGTAAATAGTTCAGAAAAAATTATGACTGGTGACCAGTATTCTATTTTGTTATTTAAAAAAAAATATAATTATATAGTAGCTGTGTGGCTTTACATCCATCCCTCCTAATTAAAATTGACAAACATATACCTCTACCTTTGAAAAATTATGACTCCTGAGTCCTGACCAATACTCTATTTTTTATTTTAAAAAATTATTATATAGTAGCTGTGTGGCTTTGCATCCCTCCTTATTAAAATTGACAAACATATACCCCTACCTATGAAAAATTATGACTCGTGACCAGTATTCTATTTTGTTATTTAACAAAATTATTATATAGTAGCTGTGTGGCTTAAGATCTCTCCTTAGATTGACAAACATATACCCCTACCTTTGAAATGCCTTGACTCTGACTCCTGAAGGCGATTGTCCGTTGGTATGGTTGGAAGTGTAATTCATCTCTTATTGAAGACCTGCCAGACCTTCATAGAATGAGATGACAGGAGAAGAAAGAATCTGCCGGGTTGGGTTGGACTTTGATTAATGACTCTGAGGGGAGCCTGCCTGCCTCACCATAGGGTCTGCCTGTCATCACCTGTAGTTTACATTGCAAACCAAAAGGTTGATTCACTGGGGGTTAGTTAGCAACAGTAAGACATGGGTAGGTTTAGGCACACACATGAAGGAGGGGGTGGGTGAGGGTTGGGATTGGGGGGGGGGGGGGCGCAACAAAGGTGGGCATATTAGCCTACACTGCAAGAGGGATGGGGTGGAGAGAGAGAGAGAGAGAGAGAGAGAGAGAGAGAGGGGGGGGGGGGAGAGTGGGGGCTTTGTTTCAATAAATGATGTGTGAAGGAAATATCAGATTAGTGTTTGTATGGAATTTATATTTAAGACTACCACTGTTACCCACCTAAGGTCGAGGTCTTTGCTCCTACTTGGGGATGCCAGATTTATAGGGAATTTACAAGTGAAGGTTACAATTGTTTACAAGTCATATATACATTCATGTGTGAGATGGTAAGAAAGTACATAGGAACTTGTGAAGAAGGAACGTTAGGACCTGCAGTTTTACATCATATCCAAGGAAATTGTTAGTGTATTCCACTTAGAGATAACCTCGAGTTTTGGTAATGATAGAAAATCAATTCTCACAGAATCCAACAAAACTTACACCCACTGTTTAAGATTACTGATAAATAACATATGCCAAACCATTTTGGGAGAAAATGTATGGGGCTGAGTAATGAGCATAGAAAGATGAGAAATTCAAGGGAAGTAGGCCTGACACCATGTGCTTAACCCAGGTCACTATGTGCAAATGAGAGTTGTGGTTTTTATTAAAAATGATACCCCCCCCCCCCCCCCCCCCCCCCCCCCGCAAGTTTTTGTGAGTTTGTTTTGATTTTACTGGTGCAAACAATCAATCTGCAGGATAAACAATCCAGAGTGAATTATAGTCATGTTCTCTAGACAAACAATTCCCATGACAGAGTTCAAAAGTCTACAATATTAGCTTTAATTCAAGAGTATTACTAGAAATGAATTATATTTTTTTAAATATCACATGTTCGCGTAGAAGATGCTTTTAGAATTCTGAAAGAAAATGAAGAAAATTGAAGTATCAGTAGAGACTATAGAATTTTTAGTTTAAGATGAAACGAGAGTGCATGTACTTGTGTTTTCTCAGTTAACAATCTTTTATATACAATCTCATATATTTTCAGAAATCTTATGCACCATATCCTTTTTATGACTTTTTATTCCTGCTAATCAAACAGTGTTAAAATGTAGATAGAAGTCACAATTTGTATTTGCTTTTGGAGCATAAATAGAAAACCATGACTTCATTCCATCATTTCCATGTGATGTGTGGGTAGACTAGGTAGACTTGTCTGCTGTGTTATGCCTACGAGGGACAGGTCGTAGCCCCAGAATATATGCCAATACATGTAGAATAACTCTCTCTCTACTGGTAGTGTGTTTCACCACGTCCTCCTCCTCATTGCCTTCCACACTGGATGAGGAGCTTTGCTCGCTACCTCTAGCCTGCCTGTACCCATGAACCAGATCCAAAGACTAACAAGGTCAAGAACTTGACCTGTATGCGGGCTAGGGTTTAGATGCTAGGGATGGAGCGAGCTCAGGAGGGGGTCCTGGGGAGGAACAGTGGTGTCCCCACTGGGTCCGTAACCTGACCTAATTGGGCAATGTGATGAGGCACTGTTCTCATTGTAACCAGCAAACAGGAAGGGGATGGTTAGGCACCAGGAGAAAGGAGGCAATGGAACGGAAGTGGTCCTTTCTCTATCAGTCACACAACAATTGGGTGTTTTACAGTGAAATGGAGAACCGTTTCATTTCTAATTGATCAGCCCTGCTTGAATTGCTCTACCATATGCCCTTTAAGTTGTCGCTAGGCTCTAGTTATTGTTTAAATACAAACAAAACATGATATAGATATGTTTGCTTGACTGTCATCAATCTCAGTTTATGTTTTTAATGAATCCTAACAGTTTCCAGAAACTGAAACAATACACTTACAAATGGGCCATCACTTTTGATCGAGCATGTCATATCTGAGTGGTACCTTTTAAAGGACGTTAGTATTCCCATCCGCTTGTTTTATGTTTTGATAGCGGTAGTGACAACACTACTCGGATTCCCCTCTGTTACTTATTAGATATTGTAGCATAGCTTCAAACCTGATTAAATTTTCACCTGCATCACAGGGTCAAATAACACTGTGAGCTGAGTGAGAGTTTATGTTGGTCATCTAAACTAATTATAGTTTTGATCTTAGAGAGGAAATACACAACTCAACCTCATAGATAGATGGGCAGGTGTTGTAAATGACATGTACATTAAAATTGTAATGGTACTTGATTCTCTTTGCACAAGTCAGTGGTATTTTAGCCTATTTTAACAGGGGGGGGGGGGGTGCATTGTGGTATTTATAGAAATAACTGAAGCATTCGGCATCAAGAATTCATGAGGTGTTTGATTGAGTGTGTATGTGTTTTTTGTGAGATGGAATCCTTGGTGTCCCGTGTGTAAATTAAGAGTACAGGTAGGTGACCTAATTGTCTTGCAGTTAGTTCTCCAGCAATCTTGTGTAAGTGTAGCCTTTGAAGTCTCCTGGGGAGTGACATTGGGAAGTGGAGGTTAGCACAGAAATGAGCATGTTGGGTGTCCTGACATAGTCCTCGGAAACAGACCCTGATACACGTAAGATTCTAATGTTGTCTTTAACTTGCCAAACATCATTTGTTGTAGTAGAGCAAAGTATGCATCACGTCAGTTATCTATAGATATCTTCTAGAGAGTGGACAAACTGTCCTTTAGCAAGGCTTTGCCATTTGATAGTTGGTGGAAATTTGAATATTTGTTGTTGTTGGTCCCAACAAGTGCATTTTAAAGATATAAAGAATCAGATGGAGTGTCTTAGATACAAGACTAGACATAGCTAATGTAATAAGTATTCAGGAGTAGGTTTTTAAAAAAAATGTTAGGTCTTTGGTGAAAGGTCTTTGAAAGAAGGTCAGTTGTAGGATTAACTATGGAGAAAAGGTCAATGGCAAACTCCAAGCAGTCTTCTTACATCACAATTTATTTTAAGTATTTTTTTTTGTATCTAGAGTAAAGATGTGCTTTCATTTCCATTTTCCAGGCAATTAGGCCTATACTTCAGTCACATCGCTAAACCAACTCCAGATGAACTCAAGACTGACTCCAAACTTTAATACTCAACCTGACAAAATGTTGGCTATTCATCTTAGTGTATATTTAGATCAGTATTTTGTGGGGTCTGATGTCGGTCTGATGTTGGTCTCATTGGTATGACTTGGGTATTAGACACGGGTTGCAAGGGTGAACCAACGTTTGCACCAGCAACATTAGCTTCTGGGCTTTAATTTGTTAATGAAGGGTTCAGGTCAGGATTGCAATGGTTTTTACTAGGTTATGGTTCAGGATTATTTAGGTCAGGGTTGAAGTTGATTCTGTTAGTGTAGGAAATTGCTGAAGGAGTTAATGTTATTATGATGTGTGTTTTAGGCCTTGGCAGGATTTATGATCAAGTGATAATTTGTATATTTATGACTCTGTAAAGTGGTTGTGACATTTAAGTTTAACGTTGTCTCAGACTCTGAAAAAAATCCTGGCTTAGCTCATGCTGCCTTGATAATTATAAACCTTTAGGTCAGTCAGGAACCCCATGACTTTTACAAGCAGATCGCCTGTCTGATTATCAAGATATTTATGATTGGAAACTGAAATTTTGTAAACACTACAGTCTACTGGGGAAAATGAGTACCGTAATTAACGTTGTATAAATTGGAGGAATTATTTTTATCAACTACATATTGAAATCTATCAGAAAGATTACTTTCAAACCAAGATGACAGACAAATTTGAGTGTTGTTGTAGTTTCCGAGTGGTGAGTCAACACACTGATTACTGAGCTGGGAGACATTGCCAGGCATAGCGCCAGGTGGAGGGGCATAAATCAAAACTTTGGTGTACCGTGTATAAACCGCACCCCCGACTTTGAATTTTTTTCGGCGGCAAAAAGGTGCGGTTAATCACCGGTAATTACGGTATGGTAAAACCGGTCACTCAAAGATTTTTACTTTTTTGAGGCACTTCATAATCATTTTGAAGCGCATTTTTTTTAGGGCTCCAATATTACACCATATCACATACACTGATAACACGAGGGTCATGCATCTCAGATTTAGCATTGTTAAACGATGCCTTTAAAATATGAATATGGACTTAGAATTCAATCATACATGAGTAATTAGTTGTCTGACTTTATTACTTTTCTTCACCCTTCCTCGCTCATCTTGTAAATGGGATCTACTGCAAAAAGTTAAACAACATTATTGTAAGGGAAGGAAATAATTTTGGTTAACAGCATGCCTAAGAGAAAAAATCGTTTTGACCTGTTTGTGAGGACCACTCTCACCCTGATCCCCTGCACTCCTGTGAGAGAAGCGCTGTTCCTGCCCTCTGACTTTGGTCCTGTTACGGCACAATATGACGCGTGATCGTCATAAGATCTGAGATAGAATTCTGCTTCCCTGCGGCCTCTAGTGGATTAAGTTTCAATCTTAGCATACTGAAGTATGGAATGGATCACTAAGTGAATCATGCGGACTGACACTGGTCAATTTGGCCTTGTGCCACTTTAGACAAAGGTCAAGAGCCAAGATTGTTCCTCTCATTGGCTCCATCCTCTTCTTTCTTCTCATTTTGTTCATTGTTTCTCTATTTGGAGAGATCATCATGTGATCATCTTCCTCTCGGACAAGTAGAATAGGCTATATGATTTGCTTGCCTGGTAGCTTATTCTTACCCCCAGCTAAACATGGGACACTTAGTGGCACTCTGCTTTAAAGGGATCGTTTAACAATGTTAAATCTGAGATGCATGGCCCTACGTGTTATCAGTGTCTGTGATATGGTGTTATATTGAAGCCCTAAAAAAATTGCGCTTCAAAATGATCATGAAGTGCCTCAAAAAAGTAAACACCTTTGAGTGACCGGTTTTACCATACTCGTTTTCCCCATACTTGTTTTACCCATACTCGTTTTCCCCAATGGACTGTAGTGTTATGAAAACTGTTTGGCAAACGAAAAATTTGATTTCGATTTTCAATCATAAATATCTTGATAATCAGGCAGGCGATCGGCTTGTAAAATTCATGGAGTTTCTGACTGACCTAAAGGTTTATAATTATCATTGAAGCATGAGCTAAATCAAGGATTTTTTTAAAGGATCTCTTTAAACAGTAGCTCTACCCATTCAAAAGTTGATTGTCATACATAATTGTGTGAATTGTAGCTTTCTTTCCACGGGATACAAAAACCATAACTTGGTTTACAAAACTGCACAGGCCTACCCGAAGAAGCATATGTGCCTTGAGATGATTTATGAAGTGGTAATGTGAAGTGCTACTTTGCAGAAGTGAAGGACACGTGTTCGAGGAGAAGGGCCATAAGACCTTTTCTCCTACCAGCCTTCGCAAAGTTTGATGAGTAGGAAATGAACTTTATTTTTTACCGTTTCATTTTCTTCTTTCTTAACTTGAAACAGAAATGTTATACTTTCAAGCAAAATGTGAAGAGCGGGATTCAGCAGAGGTATTCCATTATCTTGGGTATTAAAGCATTTTCTTGTGTGTGTTTGAGTGGAATTTCTCTTCAAGAGGTGAATCCTTATCTTGTTTTCCCTTTACGGAGAATATCCTGATCGAATGTTGTTAGGATTTGGTAATCATGCCTTGATTTGCATGTAAATCAGGGTAAATCTGTCCTATGTTCCTTGACCATTTCTGTTTTGTTTTTGTAGAAATAGACTTGATAAATTCTCACTCTTGTTGATGGAGTTTGTATAAAATCCGATTGAATTCTGGTGTAAGAAAATCTCGGCGTGGGCACAACTTGCAGACAGTGTGCAAGTGCAATGTGCATGTATATAAACTGTTGTCTGTATCTAAGAATGCAGAGCTAGCTAGCTAGCTAGCACACCAGACATTCCCCAGCTTCATACTGGGTCTATAACACTACGGACAGGTGGTGGGAAACTCTCCTTGCCTCTCTCAGGCTCTCCCCTGTCCCAGGAGGTCACATACCATGCAACCTAGGGGTCATGACCTCGTATGACCTCTACACAACAACTATTCAGTGTCAAGTTTTTTTTTCTTGCCCACTTGACTTCTCAGTAGCTTGCTCTCTCATCTTCCAATCCTCAGCCTATCAACATTCCTATCTGGAATTATTGTTTCCCTCTTCCTTTATGATATTCCGTGGGCTGGTTCATTTTGATAATTGTTACGCATTCATTATGTGTCGTACTTAAGAGAATTTCATCAGCAACAACAACAACAAATCGCGCCAAAACAAATTGGTGTGAAGTGTACTTTTTATAGTATCATCTTCCACAAAAAGTCATGCTAGAAGAAATTCATGTGCTGGGAAAAAAGCACTTTTCGTTATATCTTGCAATTGATAAGAGTTGGTTAAAGGTAAAGACCAGTTATGGTCATGCGATTGCATTGTGAAAGAAACGTTGTGGAATCGATCAGAAAAGGTTGATCATCTAGCATCTAGCATCTGCAAGGTTCTGGAATCATCAAAATAATAAGAAATTTGGCCCATTCTTCGTAAAGTTACAAGCACTATACACAGAAAGATGTATATGGGACTACCCTATATCTCTCACAGACCATGAGAGAAACAAATTTACCAAATATATGAATTAGTAGGCGGTTTCCCAGCAATTTTTTTATCATCATGTATTAGTCAAAACATATTCTTTCACATGATTGGTAATGAGAGCTTCCATTTCATTTTTTGAAATTGGGGCGTTTCCAATACTGGTCTTTACCTTTAACTTGGTTTTATCACAGAGTAATCATTTTTTATGCTTGTGTTACAATACTTGTAAGTTTGATAACATCTTTTCCAACATGTATTTTCATGTGAATGTGAATGAATGTGAAATCGTTATAGATTGAATGCGTAGTAAACAAAATGAATAAGTTATAAGAGAGCTGTAGTGTAATAGTATAATGATATTTGATGTTCCTGAAGTAGATATGGAGGACAGGGGGGGGGGGGGTAGTGTTCTTCTCTAATTCATCAGGTTTGATCATACTTTTCCACAACTATAGTGCTACTACTTGGATGATATTGTGGTGTTAGTGCTTCAAAGAGACATGATTTAGTTGGCTTCATGTAGTGTATTCTGTCCCTGCATAGATGATATCTTCTATTTCTTCAACTTGTTGAGGTTATGATATTTTCTCCTTGATAACTCAACTTTTTCTTGATGGAGTTGGACTCTACTTGCTGATATATACACAATTGGAGATGTCGCTCTACAGTGGTTCATTCACTTTACTCTTAACCCAAGGCTTGAGGGTTCAAATCCTTAGGCAAGATAGTAATCCCCATCTGCCTCTCTCTACCCAGGTGTACATGGGTACCTGGCTATTACTCGGGTATCACTACAGGGTGCTCCAAAATATAGCATTGATGCTTGATGAGGTTTCTATGGGTAATGAAATGATTCTAGTACAGTCAAACCTGCTTTAGTGACCACCTGTCTACAAGGACCACATTTTTTGTTTCCCTTGAAAATGGTTTCTCAATGAAACATGTACTAAAGGAACCTGTCTACAAAGACCACCTGTCTACAAAGACCACTTTTTGTGTTTCCCTTAGGCGGTCGTTGTAGACAGGTTGATTGAATTATTGTATTGAAAGAAAAACATGCAGGGCCTTTTGCCAAGGAGAGCTCATCATCATAAAACTCTTTTTTTTTCTTTTTTCTTTCTGTGTTTAGGTTCTATGCATCAGTCTACCATTGAGAGTCTGACTAGTGATACCAAGTATTACTTCAAGGTGAGAGCGGGTACCCAGGCTGGTGATGGACCACCTACAGATGCTGTAGCTGCTCAAACTCTTCCGGTCAACATCAATAAACGTAAGTTAGGCTTCGGTTCTAAGAAGCTAGAAAGTTTCTATGGTATCTTTCTTTCTCATTATGTCAATCTGGGATAATTATTTTCTAATTTGGATTCCTTAGATTTCTAGAGGATTATAATTTGACAGAAATCAGCAAAGATTTATTTCTTATTTAAACATAATTTTGGCCTAATTACTAGCTTTGAACAATATTTTTAAAAGACCTCAGTTATGTCATCACATATCTTGGCAAATTGTGAATGTTAGGAGGTTTCTATGGTTTCTATCATTCTCATTATGCCAATCTGGGATAATTATTTTTTAATTTGGATTCCTTAGATTTCTAGAGGATTATTTAGACAGAAATTACTAAAGTTTTATTTCGTATTCTAAAATCATTTTGGCCAAATTACTAGCTCTGAACGATGGTTTTAAAAGATCTCAGTTATGTCATCACATATCTTGGCAAAATGTGAATGTTTCCTGTACAGTTCTTAATTACTCACTTGTTCTAGTATACAGTTTACTAATTTATATATATGCATATGGTTTATAGTATCTTTAACGCGCTTTGGGATGGTATTACGTATTAAGTGCTTTATAGATTCTTATTATTATTATAGGCAATTCAGTGTAATTTGGAAAGCAACACAAGACTATTCATTGCTATGTTTATAGAAGACTTATGATTAAAGTTCCAAAGCCAATTAAACAGGGTGGTCACAGTCATTCAGTTTTCCTATCCTGTCTCCTAGCATTCCAATGATTGTAATATTGGATTTTGTAGAATCTTTTATAACTCTGAACAACATATTTTCATTCATTGACTGAATAATAATGATAATGGTGATGGTGATATGATGGTGATGATGATACTCATAATGCTCATAATGCTCATAATGTTGATTGTTACTTTGTTGTTATACAGCTCCTCCATCAGGCACCCTAAAGCAAGGCATTCTGATAGGAGTCTGTTTATCTATGGTGTGTATTTGTATCTGCACTGCTCTCATCACATACAGATTCAGGTTAGTATCACGATATCAGTGCAAGAAAGGGACAAAAATACATGGGGCTCGGGCAATTTCACCCTCGAAATGCCCAAAAGAGCCCCCGAAAGTCATAAAAGAGCCCTCCAAAATGTGCATAGAGTTCAATGCAAAACAATTTAAATAATGTTATTTTCATAAAGTAGCCCCCGAAAAGCTTGTAAAGTACCCCCCCCCCCCCCCCCCCCCCCAATTTTTAAAATATTTTTTCCCCTGGTGCAAGGTCTACTCCATCCCACTGAAACATGTGTAGTCAAATTGACATGCATTTCAGTTGAATGTTGGCAAGTATGCAGTGTCTCATTTAATCATGTTTAACTGGTGCTTTTTGGGGTGTCATGTCTCAAAAAAGCCTTATGGCAGGGGTTCTGTAACTTTTTCCTTGACAGTCCTTTTAGGATCTTAAGAAAAAAGCAGAGCCTCCCTTATTATCCCGATTGACATGCCTTGCGGTCCAAATGCGGACCGCGATCCAGACTTTGAAAAGGATTGAATCCTCTTATATATATATTTGGACAGTACATAAGTTGTCTGATAGGATAGGTGGTTGTTGCTTGAACATTTGGTACTTTATGTTCAGTGTTTCTTGATTAATTTTGTCAAAAGTTGGAAAGAATGGAGGTCGTCTGATCAATATGAGAGCAACATTATTCATGTGTAATGCAGACATTAATAAGAAAAAGATAATGCATAGATGTTCATTCATAATACAAAAATATAAATTCACATTTATATCTTTTTGCATGTTATTTTGAGCTATTTTCATGAAGACATTGTTTGACCTACTGTAACTTAAACTAATTTCAATTTTGATTTGACTTGTTATTTAACAGGCATGTGTGCTGGAGGAGAAGAGCTCGCCCTGATCAGTGTAGCTGTAGAACAGCAGCAAACGGCGGTCCCTGCGTCCACTACCATTCTAATGGTAACTCACAGCGTGTCTACATGTCTGTACCCAACGCCGATGAGATGGGCGATACCAGTCTACCTGTTCTCACACAGTATGAGAACACTAAGGAGGTAGGTGATTGCATCCTAGGCTACGTGGTGGGAGTCTTGATTCAGAATGATGGTGTTGGGAGATGGTTGGGAGGGGGTTGGGGGAGGGGGTTGGGGGTTTACAGATTATGATGGTATTTTGAACATCCAAGAGGTAGTTGGTTGCATTCCCAACATAATATAGAAATGTACTTTCTTATAGAATACAAGATGCCTTTTCCAAGGATGTAAACTGGGAGCTGGTAATGAAAGATGTCTTTTTGTGTCATTTGTTGCAGGGCACACCACCTCATCCTCAGAATGGGTATGGTCCAAATTGGAACCACACCCATTGCAATGGCCACGCCCCTATCATGAATGGGCATGGTCCTCCCGGAGGCAATGGGTATGGGCCTCTCATGGGCAATGGACAACATGGACCACCTAGGGCAAACGGCCACGGACCGCCCTTGGGAAACGGACACGGTCCTCCCTTGGGGAACGGCCACGGGCCACCGAGGGCAAATGGTCATGGGCCGCCCAGAATGAATGGCCAGCCAGGAGGACTGGTGGGCTGGCAGAAGAGAGAGGGCTACTGGCCCCACCTGCCCCCGGAGAGATTACAGGGGTGTGTAGAAGAAGCAGCGTCCCATAGTGGGAGCTCAGCGCATGGATCGGGTCTCCTCCATCACTCTCAGGAATATAATAGTCAGGAGATGCCACAATTGGTGAGTTTCCCAAGCCTGAACATTGGACAGTGTATATTTCAGTTAATGTGAGTAATGTATGAGAAATCCACAGTACAGTATGCTACAAAAAACATACACTTGCCAGCCAGTGGTCAAAATGCTTTTCCTTTTTTTAAACTAGTTTTGATTGCAGATAACTTTAATGATATTTGGCAGTGTACCTTTTAATTTTTCCCAGTAGCAAATTCAAGATGACTAGAAACAGCTGTTCATGGAGAAGTTTGTTCCCATTTTAATCAATTGATGAAAGAGAGTCGTTTGTCTGCTACAGCTTAAGACTTATTTAACATATTTGTGGCTTACACCCAGTAAATAAGATCGATTGATCGATCTGTATTGAAAAACAAGTCAGAAAAAATCTTGGAACCAGCGGGACTTGAACCTGCACATCTACTGCTTGCCGGGCAGCGACTCTACCACCAGGCTATTTACTGGGTGTAAGCCACAAATATGTTAAATAATTGAAATTTCTCCCAGGAAGCATTACATTTATAAAGCTTAAGACTTCTTTCTCTACTCCAAATGATAGCAGAATATAGACAGGAATTTGGGTCACCATTTAAATTAATTTATTATTTTGTTTGTGTATTTACAGGGTACTGAGCATCAAGAAATTGTAATCCCGTCAAATTCATCTACCTCGCAGCTTGAACTCTCGGGAACAAAGTCTGTAACCTCTTTACAATCAACTGCTTCATGGCAAGCTAACAGTGAGAAGAACAGCAGTCAAGATAGTATCACTCATCTACCTCCCACCGTCTCTAAAGTGTCTGCCAGTATTATACCCCCTACCCAGGGACATTGTCATATCTCAGGAGTTCATAGCCCTGGGACGGGGGTACCTCCTGACGGTGGTGGGATAGCCACGCCCTGTCAGACACCTACCAGCCACAGATTACCTCCAGCACGTCGCGTGGATCCTCAACGGGTATTAGCACAGGGTCACCACGTAGCGCCTGTCAGCTGTGGCAGGGGATCTCCTCCCAGCGGGGCTCAGGACCCGCACGGTGTCGATCCTTGGGAGAGATGGACCCCGCCCCCGTCAGAGGCGTCGTCGTCGTCGTCATGTCCAGAGGAGGCTGAAAAACACGCCAGCGAAGCGAGACCAATCGAACCAAACAGGACAATCACAACCTGTACGGTTTGAGTGATCTTGGGTCATGTAATCCTCCAAACTATTTACCTCCACGTGTGATGAAGCCCGGCTCGAGTCATCTCTACTGTCTATGCCCGATTCCTAAAGGAAACCAACTCAGCATTGTTTGTGATCATCTATCTCTCACCTCCTCCTCATCTTTGAAACGTCTTCTTCTTCTCCGTGCTGTCGCTCGCACTGCGATCATTCCTCGTTCCCCACCAGCAGACAGAGGGAGCTCACATGAAGACGGGTATAAAACATTTCAGGAGTCCCTGTGTCTGTGCTTCAACCTCTAGGGGCGGGCTTCATCACCCATCGCTCAGTTCCAATGTACTCTTGAATCAATGCTCTAGAAGCTCACTGTCTCAATGATCCCTCAATGATCAGGGCTCTATCTACTGTGAGCAAACTGGACAATCTCTACAGCTTTCTCTCCATCTGTCCAACTGAGTCTATTAAACAAAGAGACAACGGTCGGTCGGTCGGTGTGGAGTGAGTTTATATTCTTCAAGACGCCCTCCAACGTAGAAGATTAAGAGACTTTTTTTGTTATGTTTGCCTATCTCAGGGATATTACCTTATGTGTCTAAGAACCTCTCTTGAAATGAAGAGAGATGAAATGATGCTTGAGCCTTTTAGTCCCCTCATTTTTAGAGGTGGAGGGGTGGAGGCTGGTCTGTAATATATTGATGAAAATGGACAAAAGAGGACTATATATGACAAAGTAATGGTGATAATGTATTTTCTCTATTAAAATGGGATAAAATTCTTTTGCTCCAAGCTATTCTTTCTTGGATTGCTCCAGCATTCGCTCTTGATTTTTTTTTTATTATTACTTTTTATTCTCCTTTATTGAGCAATGCTGTGTTCAACCAAGATTGAGTTGTAGCGTGATATGAACAAACGTTACATGTCATCTGCAAAAGCTAGGCGTGGTGTAACGAGCCATGCGTGGATGACTGCTTATATAATATATACATATATATATACATATATTGTGATACCAAAGCTTGCATGTTTGGTGTGACTGTTCATTCATTAGAGAAGAGTAGTGCAAGAAATGGATTGATGCTGCATTAATGCTGCAGAAAGAAAGATTAAAAGGGGGTTAATCTAAGGTAGGAAGGGGTAGAAATACCAGGAATGCTGCTATGTATTGTCTCTGTGCTCTCTTTGTTTGCGTTTAATAGATTTATACTGTTTAGAACCGTATCCATACGTCACATGCTGATAAAGCTACAGCTATTTGTAGTTTGATACTAAATTACAAGTTTTATTTTGTGTTAAGAAATTTAAATGATCTTGCTTCACTTGGCTACTATTAAGATTAGGATGTTCACACCCTGGGTGCTGTGATCTAGCAGCATTTGTGGTCCTCTTCTCATAACAATTTCATATGGGCAAACTTGCGTTTATTTAATACCCAAGCACACATTTGGCAGCATGGCATAGAAATAGCCACATGCGTTAACAAGAAATTGTTGTTGGGGGAAAAAAGGGTGAGTTGGAGATGTGAAATCAAACTAATTTATTTTAAATGACTTCATAACCTTATCACTATATAACAGTGACCTTCTATAATAATCATTAGGTATTTCATAAAGGTCAATTTGGTATTCAGTTTTGTTCCACCTGTAGAATTAAAAAGATTCAAGATAACGGCAAGATACAAAATGACCTTTGAATATCAAGATAATTGCTTTGTCTTTTGGTTAGATTTTAAGCTGTTATGATTTATACGCAAACGCACCATTAAATGGATCGTTACTGTGTCTTTATGCTTCAGGGGATAGATTCATCTGCCAATTTCTAGGGTATTCTTTATATCCAATTATAATGAAGACATACAAACTGTATTCTTATCCTTGAAGATATCAAAAAAAAATTAACTGAGTGCCAAACCGTAGATGATTTCTGGCTTAGATGTGCTAGCCAGTTCATACAACCTCATGTATTAAAATGACCAGAGGACTACAAATTCAGAGGATATCAAATGCAACTCTTGAAAACCATCCAGCTGCTCTTATAAAAGTCCTCAAACGCAATGACAAGCCATGTCAGCTCAGGACATAGATAGCACATTTCACTGATTCTATACACTATGCATTTATTCATATAAAAGTTGTATTTATTATCTCTCGACGTTGAAGAGGAGAGAAACGTTGTCCAGATTTGTATGTTAGCCTCATGTCAGGTCAAAATAACTACTTTCTGCTATTGATTGGTGCAATATGCAGAGTTACTATATTCGGGAAATACTTATCTGGTATTTAATAAACCCTCACACCTCATTTTACCTGTCGACCTCAGTCGCTACTACCAAACTCATATATATATATATATATATCTCATTCAGGATTAAGTGTATTCATGTCAAAGGGTAAGAGCTGGACAGTAGATCATGTTATACAGCTGCCAGGCCAGGGATGAAGATCCCACGATTGGAGAAATGCTGGTGATTCAACAAAATAACATTTAACATAATTTGCAGGGACATTACCATTTGTATTTCATGTGGTATGAACTCCAGTCTATGGAATTGGATTTCAAGTCAGGATAGTTTGAAAACATCTACATTTATTAACTGATATCTTTTGATATCAATTGTCCATTTTGATAAAATCAACATTTAAAAAAATATATATTATATATATATATATACATAAAAGCATGCTATTTTATGATATTATTATGATATAATAATTAAACAAAATCAAATTTGTAAAGTAATGCCTGTCATCTTTCTTGCTAGCTTTTGTAATTGATGAGGTAATTATTTTCCTACATAAGTGAAGACATTTGCGGTCTTAAACAAGACTCAGCTATCCCTTATCTTATAATTTCCATATACTCAAAGTAAAGATATTTTAAGAAAAATCTCTAGTGAAATTCTTTTTTATTGAAAGACAATCTTTCCATGATTTTATTTAATAATGGCCTAGCCCCCACTACTTGTGTTAAAATGAATTGTTCAAAGAGAAGAACAAGTAAATAGAGATAAAACATTAATAAATGTTCTATTTTATTATAGATTCAGGAAGGATCATTATACTGTGATTTTTTTTTTTTTATTCTGGGACTTTGCCCCTAAATTTTGAGTTATTGAATGATATAACAAATTTAGTGGTATATTTTGTTTTATTGCCAAATGGTGAGGTATGATTTCCTGTGAAATGTTCTTTAAATACTAATTAAGGTCTTTTAACCATATTTTGATAGAAAATGAAATCTGAAAGGGGAAGACCTAATTAGTCATATGCAGCTTTATATGTCTTGTGTCTTGTTGGTTTGTTTAACCAAGGATGAGAGAAAATTATATTTTGATGTAAATTATGCCGGTTGTAGCTGCACTTGATTAAATGCTGCCAATTACTATATAATAAAAGTAAAATATAATAATTTTTTCCTGAGAGTTGAAATGCTGCATTGGATGTCTCCATAGACATAAACTCCATACACGGTATGAAGTGAATGGTATAAAAACAAGAAACTGACTGAAATAACAGAGATTATCAAAGACTGTTGTGGATGGGTTTGTGCCTATGGAAGGGTTAAAGTTATGATGAAAACAGGAAAAGATTTTGTAAGTTGTACTTAATACTATCGCTTTTTTGAAAATTTAAACAAGGACCTAACATTCACTAAAAGTTTCAAGTTATGGAGCAGTGTTTCAAAATGATTGCCATGAAATTGTTCAGCTAAGGTGCATAACATTCTTTTACCTCTTGTATGAAGTAGACCACTGAGCACCGATGTATGGCTCTATATGCCGATCTGTATTTTGTGTGGCTAATACCCGGAACTCATAAAAGGTTCTTAACTGGGTATTTCATTTTGGTGATGTAATGTTCTCTGTAGCAAGTTGTACTATCATGATGTTGATTGGTTGAAGTGCTGTTAATGTTAGGTTCATTTTCCCTGAGAGGATGAATTAACTTGGACATTATTTAAAAGAGAGTATCATGTTTAACTCAATATTTCCTCTATGCTGCTATGTATACAAAGCTGCACAAACATAAATTTGCAAAAAAATAAAACTAGAAAGCTGCTTAGATATAGATATATGAATTGATTTATTTTGAAATGTATTAAATGTTAAGTCGGGCATTGAAATGTACTTTCAAAACCGGAATGTGAATGTAATACTTGGTCATTTTTGAAGATCCATTTTTGAATACATCTGTAAATTACCATAAAATTTGTTGTGTCAGTATGAAATTGGAAGTAGTAAAACGGAAAATTACATGTGGTATTTTTCCTTATGTTGATATTGCGAATCAAAAGGATATGTCTTGACATGTCATGATCACAAATGCACATGCATCATCCTCATCGAGCCCAAAAAGAGTTTAGGTGTCTAGGATATATAATCAAAATCATTGGCAGAAGTGAAACCCTATTTGGATTGGTTACATGATACATAGAATCAGGTTTGAAAAGTACAGCATTTGTGTACATGATTTACAAGGCATTTTCTTTGATGATGTATTTGCAATATTTGTGTAGTATATTTGAAGTGTTATTGAAGGACCTTGTCTATCATACAGGAGTTATCAGGTCATTCGTATTTGTACAGATGATATCGGGGAATGGAGTATGTTTATAAACCTGGTTTCCGTAGTGTGGGTAAGAAACACATTTACACATGTATTTAAGTCTATGTAGTCATGTCAGAATTAATTAAAAATGTAAGTTTTACCGGTTCTACCTCAAGTGTACAAACTTCATAGGAAGTCGTGTTTTAAAAAGGAGAGTAACGATAAATGTAAATACATAAAGAAAAAGAGAGAGAGGGAGAAGAAGAAAAAAATGATGTGTTCACGGATGGTAGCATTTGCAAACTTAAACCTACTGTTCTCAGGGACTTATGAAACAGTGTTAAAAAGAGAATTTAATACAAATATTTTTACATCATGGTTTTGTTATGTAAACTTTTCCTCTTTCGCCCAATTACTTTAATTTGTTATTCATGTTGTGCTGTTAAGTTTTTCTTTATATTTCTCTACAGTTGTTTTATTTATTCTGATACATGCATATGTGGTTCACATGTAAAACTTTACTCATTTCTTCTTTTGTCAATGTAGCTGCCATCGTGATCAAATTTGCCCATTTTGGGGCTTTCAATAATATAACCTTTCCATATCACCACCATCATTTCTAGTCCATTCATCCAGTATTAAGCCATCTAATTATATACTCATCTTACTCCTGCTCTAGCTTTAAGTCATTTTTCACTTTTCATTTTTATCTTAAGTGTTATATGTTTTTGCAAGAATTCAAACCTACAGAGCTAGTCATTTTTTTCTTTCTTAAATTCCCTTGTGTTGTCAGGTACGCCATATCTAAATTTAAACTAACCAAGCCTGTGTCTATTAGGAAAGTCACACTATGACTCCCTTTGTGCCAAAAATTGATTTGTTTACTTCCTTTCCAAGTATTTGTTTTAATTTCTACCACATTTTGGCCTTTGTATGAAATTGTGGTTTAGAAATGTGTTGCGTAATTGCCTATAATCAATCCTTATCAAGTAAAGTTAGAAATTGGTAAAAGTGTTTTCCTCTTTCTGTGACTTATTTTGGTTTTATATCATGTTGACCAAAGTTTCCATAGATGAAAAATCTACTCATTTTCAAATGACAAGATTTTATTATATTATTTACTTAATTTTCTTAAACGCAGCTGTAATGATAATATCATGATTTAGACTTTAATCATGATTTGCAGTTGAAAATGATAACGTCAATTTATAATCAGCTGAACTTCAATCCAATTTTTCAGATTGTTAACTTATTTTCATGTATATTGTGTCCCCTTTTTATGTATTCAAACAGTTTTCCCCTTTTAGTTGATGCATATGTACTGTCCTTTTGTCTGTTTTAAAACATGTAACTCCAAAATAATCAGAAATTCCCAGTTTGATCATCGTAAGCATGTATTACGTTGTTATATGGCAGCATTATGTCCCGTTAGTCAGATTAATTTTGCCAGTGTGGAACTTGTTTTAATTCTACCTCTAACTAAAAGTGATTCATATTTTCCATGAAATATATCCTTAACCCACCTGACCGTAGCTCACATACTTTTTAGAGAGAGTTATAGATTTGAAGAAAAAGTGAAAATGGGTTGTTGGTTCTTTGAAGAATGCTCTTGATTTAAAAACGATACAAAAAAAGTTTTGAGAATAATTTGTTTTCATTCTATACTCCTGTGGCATGAGATATATTTGACAGCTATACTTTTAAAAAAATCATAAAAATCATAAACTTTTTCAGGGGTGTAACCTTTATTTTAATTATTATTATTCCTATTTTACTTCCATCTGACTTTTATATTAATCAGAAAATATTGTTTTCAATTTGTGAAATTAATTATTTAAAAAGATCTTATCGAGAGAAGAAAAAAAAATCCCTTTACCACTAATTAGTTATCCATTACAAATAGTAAATATTGTAGGCTGGAACTTCGGGAGTATTTTTAAGTGGTCAAGCATTGATGTTTTATTGTTTTGATTCACATTTTGATTGTTTTTATCATTTTATGTCCAGATGATTCAGGCAAGTGCTTGTATTGGCATTAAAAACCAGATTTCAATACCTCTGGAGTTCTCTATATACCTCGACATGTTTTGGACTACGTCTAAATACATGTATATGTATTATGTAATAATGTATGTATATATATATTTCTCTATTCATGTTCCCAATGGTATTTAATTGGGAAACACAAAAATGAAAACGGGTCTTCTTTTTTTTCTCGTAGATGTGTATGTAAAATATAATAGAACATTAAGGTAAATGTAAGATGTGATATGCATGTCAATGTCTATGTGTTCTTATATCTTTTTTGTTTTCTTCTTCACATGTATTGTTTCTTAAATGTGGTGATTTATCGTTTGAATATAGTTCTTGTACAAGTGTCATGATCTCATAGGAATTGACCAGCAAATACACAATAAAAAAGGATGTTTAGATATTCAGTATCTTAGCATACAGGTGGGCCAAACTTGGTTAATGGTCTATACGTATTAACAGCAAACTTACGATTGTTGGAAAAACATTTGTAAAAGATTTGCAATTGATCCATTATGCAAATAATTCATATTGTTATTTTGGGGGCTATTATTTTGTCTCCCCTATGTGGACCTGAAACAAAACAAAAAAATTGAAATTGAAGGTTTCCACACAAACATACTATCATAACTAATTTTGTGATCCAGAGTTTTTATTTCTCTATTTTGCAAGAGCTAATTGCATAGGGTGCTTTGCTACATTAAAAAGAATCTTTTATTTATTTCAGATTTTGTTAGAAATGATTATAGATATCTGTGCAATGGAGAGGATTCAGGTGTTATTTATGAACTCCAGAGAAAAGAATATTTATGTCAAATCTCTCTTTTTGCTGGATGAATAGTAAACTTCTTTTTCTTTTCCATTCATATTGTCATTTTTATTAAATCCCCTTTCTATAAAGTGGTGGTCATGTTTAGGAGCGTGGTTGCACAGATGAGATTAATGTTCAGTTCTTTGTTTTTAATTTGATGTTTAAGAGTATTGGTATGTCTTTGAAATAAACTTCCATTAAGGACTGGTCTTAGATTATTAATTATGACATCATAGCTCAAAGGCTCTATCAATATCAGGGTGGTATTCTGAGGTCTCCAAAACTGCCTACAAAAAATAAACAAAACATTGAGTGTATTTGAAAAGAAACAAACTAATGCTTTACTGAGTGCATGTACTCTTTTTGTACTTTTCCATCAAAAAATGATAACAATTCAAATTTAACAGATTCTTTTGACCTCTCATATTTCATAATTTCAAGTACTCACAACGTGTACCATCTCGCAAAGTCTCCATAGGAAGATGACCATAATAAGAAAATGCTAGACTACTGGCATTATTCCATATGCACCGGTCTATATTTGATCTTATTAAACAACAGTCTTTTTTTTTTTACATTTGATTTTGGAACCCCACATGAAGAATAACTGGCTTCATATTAAGACTTATTGTTGATCATGCAGCGAATAAAGATCTCTTTCTGAGAAGCACAAAACATGCATGCTCATATGGGACCTGACATTTTGAAGATGTGGTCCGGATGACTACCTCTATTTTCCTACTTTTCTTCCCTTGTATATATTTGGTTGCCATCTTTGTCTAACATCTTTGTGTCCCTGTCATTCGGTGTCAGTTTGGTTGGATTCTGTGAAATTTGTTTCTGTTATTAACCTTTAACATGCATATCCTTTCACTTGTTTCTCCATCTTACTGTGATATATACTGTATGCAAATTAAATGCATATTATTCAGGAATCCATCAACATCCATTGTAATACTGTTGGATCATCTGAAATTTTGAATCTAAATGGGGCTTTCAGAATATCACCCTGACATTTTAGTACCAAAAAAAAGGAGGGAAAAAAATACTGCCTACCTGTAAGCAAATTCAAAATGTATTCACTTCGGAGTTTTGACACAATATTTTTACGATTTATGAAGATGGATTACGGAATGCTGCGGAAATATATGAACTAAATCTTTGAATGAAAAGGAAGAGGAAATGCGTAAAATCCGAAAGACACTAAAGTGATGAAGCCAAAACAAGCACACGTCATGTCAAATGGAAGGGTAATATATTACTTCTTTTGTAGATGTTGGGGGGGGGGGGGGGGGAAGGGGATGGAATATAAATGTTATCTTTGACCAGTCCTTAGTCCACCCAGTTATAATGTGGACCCTTATTATGAGGTGGAATGTCATGTTTTTTGTGTGTACATTGTAGTATCACATCATCTACCTCTTGTGTATCATACTGAAAGTCTCTCCAGTGTTATATTGTACAGTCACCGGAATAAAAAAAAAGGAAGAAAATTTCAGAAAAAATATGAGGTGATAATTTTTTACGATGACATTGTAATTTTAAGAAGATGGAGATATTGTTTATAATGCATCATGACACTATGTATTGAATTGTATTGATGTTGTCTCAGAAGTACATTAAAGACAACACAAACTTCACAATTATGAACTATTCTCTGTTTGTGTATTAATGTCAGTTTGCTTGATTCTGGGATGGTGAATGCATTGTGTGATAATAGATGGAGAGAAAGAATTATAAAGGATATAAGCCAGTTCACGGTTGCAGTCTGAGCATGAGCAGATAAAGGTCATTGCAGAACAAATTTTGAAATACACGGAGACGAAATACTGGATATGTGGTCATGAAAGTTATGTAATCATTATTCATTCATGCACATTCAGTGCACTCCATGATACACAGGTGGAAATATTCTTTGAAAGGGGGAAACAAAGGCTATTTATGTAGCACCTCCATCGCTGTAGGAGTGATTATTTCACAATGTACAAAGTGGGACCTCTTCATGTTTTGAAGATCTGTGGATATTCGGGGTCATTGCAGTAATGTGCTAACCGTGAACTGGTCTATTGTAGTGAGAAGTTGTGCTACTATGCATTTATTGCCATAAACTACTGGTAGTAAATAAATAGTCACCAACTGTTGGGGGAGATGGTACAAACTATCCTTGCCGAAGTTATCACTGGGGTACTATCTTCACCGTTATCTGCTGAAGTTCAATTTGTAGGGATATTGTACATATATAGCCTCCGAGATAACCGAGGCAAAGATACTTTGTCCATCTGCCCGAGTTGAGGTGGTGATAGTTTGCTTTATATCCCAAATCGACAATATTTCTCACAAGGGTGGGTCGGAAAAAAAATGGTAATGATAATAAGTGATATTTTCCATGAAGGTACACCCTCATACCAGTATCGTTTAGTGTATGTGGTATGTGCTATTAAATGCTATCATATCAAGTAATGGAATCCTTCATTTACTTGTATCTTAAAGATAAAGTTGAGTTCTAGCCATGCGATTGCATTGTGAAAGAAACGTTGTGGAATTCGATCAGAAAAGGTTGATCATCTAGCATTTAAGTATTGGTGTGCACTGCAATGTTCTGGAATCATCAAAATGATGAAAAATTTGCCCAAGTCTTGGTATAGTTACAAGCACTGTACACAGAAAGATGTATATGGGACTACACGAACATGTGGCGTAAAAATCTGTCCCTGATTTTACTGATGTTACATGCCATATTTAGAATATGAAGGCACTTGAAGAGCCATGCTTTTCAGGGAACACTTCCACACTTGCATAATACAATGATAACACTCACAAATTATTTTCACCTCTTCCCAGAACTCATCCTTCTCTTTAAACTGATAATCTCATAATAATATGCTTCCTATTTCTAACTGATATCTTGTTATTGTTATTCAGGTCTGACCAGACACATCAAAATGACACAAAAACAGACAAATATACGAACTTAATTTTTATTCACAATATTTTCCACAGGAAAAATAAAGCAATCATAAATAATGTTTTTCTTTAAAAAATGTGTGCACATTTCAGACCTAACAAACTTTCTTTTAAAGATGAATGTCCTTTATTAACCATAGTTCTTTAAAACCACATAATAATGTGAGCACAATATTTTACAGATGTCTGCTATTCTAATTTGGAAGACACCAATATCAGAAATAGAGTGTTAATATCCTGAGAAGCATAATAATACCTCTTTTAAAAGACACTTCTGAAAGCCTTCAATTCTCAGGAAACATAATAAAATACAATTTTGTTCTAAAATAAAACACAGGTAGTTGATGGCAGCATATGCCAAGGTTATATTCTCCCTTCATGGGCATATCTTTGGGTCATACACCTTCTCCATGAATTTTCTGTGATGTCTTTAACAGTTGACAACTTTCGGGGTAACAATAATGATAGATTCAGACCTTTGAATCCATTTCATGAAAAAATAAACTTTCAGAGCAAGCTCTTATTCTTAATTAAAAAACAAAATATTATTGACAGTTTTCATAAATATGGCAAAGGAATAAACAAAGCACATTGACTTCAACTGGTATGCCTTGTAGAAGAAAATCTTATGATTTAATATTGAGTAAAATTTAGTAAAAAAGCAGGATGGATAAGAAATTTCCTAATGAATCGGTGGGTTTTTCTTACACAGAAGACAATTATATGAAAACTAAAATACTTCATTGAAAATCTCATAATTTTATTTTTACTCTGATTATCAGTCACACAATTTTACATAACAGTCCTCAGTGTGTCCAGTATCTTGCTTTATTGGACATATTTTGATTTCCCTGAGGCTGGTAGCCCTCTGTTGCCAAACAACTTACAATTCATAACCTTATAAAGTCTCGTTCACATATGATGTGGTAAACACTGCATTTTTGTGGGAGATGGAAAAAGTGGCTGTGCACAACAAAAGTCTTGCGCATACCCACTTATCAGTCTGTTAAAAGATACAGAAGTGTGAAACTTCCATGTACAACATGTACACATATTTTGCGCAGGGCCCCCGTTGTATATAACTTACCATCGATGACAACTTTGCCATTAATGGTAGCTTCCATGGAAACCTTGATTAGGCCTTTAAAAAAAAGATGTTGTATTGCCCTTTAGGTGCCAAAACATGGGTCGGTCGGTCAGAAATTTTTTTCTCTCTCTTTGGGCTGATATTTCTCAGTTTTGAATGCTTTAATATCTTTTCTCTAAAAAATAGTAAAAGGCCTTAGATTGGGTGTTGAGTGATGTTGCCATGGTAGTTAATATTGATGGCAAAGTTACCATCAGTGGCCAGTTTGATGCAGCAGGGCCCAGGTGTTTTACTATGGCCCATATGAACAAAGCCTTTAGACAATCCTCTTGAATGATAGCTTTCTGAGCAAGCTCTTTTTCAGAGTTGATTGCCCAAGGTATGCCCTCAACTTTGACAAGATACCCAAAAGGAATCATCAACATTTCAATCTTGTAATAGCAGTATTGAATCCAGTTCTCTTACTGGCCTTTTAAGAAACGGATATTTAAGAAATCCAGATTGAATTTCTATGCATTCCAATTAAGTTTTCAAATTTTCTAAATACAATATGCATTATACAATTTCTTTTTTTAAACAAACGGCCTTCTTCACTAAAGTTTGGAAAACTGTTAATGATTCACACTTTTCACAGTGAAGTCTGATTTCAGCAAAAATGTTCTTATATTCATCATCATCTAAGTTTCACTCCTTTATTATAATCTGCTAATAATTTTGATGTAAAGATGAAGCTTTAAGGTATATGACATACATTTCTTTATTCTTTTCATTTGCTGGACAATGTTGGTAAAGACAGCAATGCAACCCTGTATTAAGCCAAGTAATAAAGAGTTGCATTTTCAAAATCTACACAACAAAAAAAAAAAAAAAAAAAAATCATTGAATGTCATATGTGTGCTTTGTGGGGTGGGGGAGGGGGGGTGCACAGGTATCATTTGCAAGTGTTGGACAACAAATCTTGAGAAAACTCATGAAAATGAATGCCGAGATCAGTTAGAGCGTTAGAGAAAATGGTGTAAAAAAAAAGAATGAGGATATACCGGTAACAAAATTAGGCAAGAAAGGGTCAATGCAGCCACTATGACACCTGTATCAAAGTCCATACTCATTCCTTAAAATAAAACATATGGGTGTAGGACCTTCAGACCTTTTGCCTCCCATACACTCAAAATACAAAAGAACTTAAATCTTTCTGCCTCTGATGTCATCAAATTTATGTAAGACCTTCATGACCAGAGGGTCCTCTACAAAGTCCGCATTCTGCACACCACTCGGTCCATTGAGAACTATACAAGCTCCACTTTGAGTCTCAAAGTCTCTCTACTTCTGATGCAACTGTATGATGTAACATGAGCAGGACTTAAGTTCTTCTGCTTCCCATACGATCAAACGTATGTAAGACCTTCATGACCAGAGGGTCCTCTACAAAGTCCGCATTCTGCATACCACTCAGTCCATTGAGAGTCATGTCACTCTGAGGATCCCACCGACTAGGGAACAGCCTACCACCACCGGGCGTGGTCGCGGGTGTGGTCGCGGGTGTGGTCGATTCACCAGGTAAGGAGTCGACAGACTGAGAGAGTAGCTCATGCAGGTACTGGAGCTTGTCTTCAGGCTCGGCTAGTTCAGCAGAATGCCACTCAAAGTACGGGATCTGGAGAAGAAAACGGAAGTGGACAAATAAATCTACTACATTTACTTGTAAAACATACACAAATTTATTAATGTTTGAAGGAGTGCTCACTTCATCACATGTAAGGCCAGTGCAAGAGGGCACAAATGTGCTGATACTTGACTATCACTACATCCAAATAAGCTCCAGGGCCTGTCTTACAAAGAGTTATGATTGATTCAAATCAACCGTAAGTCCTCCAATCAATCACAAGTTTGCAGTCTTCTATCTCTTGTGTTCATAGTTGCGATTAATATCAACTCTTTGTAAGACGGGGCCCTGGAATGTTTAAGACCATGATGACATAACAAAAGTATCACTCATTATATTGTAGTTGTCAAAATAACATTTCATTTTCTTCTTGACAACATGTATCTAGAAGTTGATTGACCTATTTTCATAATTCATGAGACAGGTTACTTGCTCAACTCAGTGATAAACATTTTCTACTCCTTGTTCATGAATACCTCTTTCACTTGTCAAACAAATATATTTGATATTTTGCTGATAAGTGTTCATCACATTTCTTCATTTTTTCAATACATGGTAGAAATGCTTTGCATTTAGATATCTGAACATCACTGTACTTATATCTGAGTTGCCATTGTTTTCTCACCTGCACATACTTGTACCCCATGAGCTCAAGATGGCGCTTCTTCATAGCTATCATACCGAGAGCATGACGAGAGTTGGTGCAGTATGAATTACTGAACAGATAGTCAATAGCCACCCTGTAATCAAGATAATTGCTTAAAACGTTAATAACAGCTCTCAAAGAAACTCCACAATAACAAATAAATGGCTGCAATAAAAATACAAGATAGCAAAGTCAGTTTCTTGAAAGAAAATAAATAAATAAACAATCCTTCCTTTCTAAATAAAACTTACTTAAAAGCTACATACCGGTAACAAGAAAGAATTAGCTTTCCAATGAAGATGGCTAGTCTCATGAATGTTTGCTAACAACAAAAAATATTGAATTCAAGCTTACGGTATGATAAATTTTGGGATGAAGGAACTACAGAGTAAAAGTAAACCGCACACATCTGCAGGCATGGCTCCATGCAGTTTTAGAGACACTAAAAACAATAAGTAGGGGGGGGGGGGGGCATGTACCATATTGATGGAAATTATTGAATTAAAACTGGAAATCTTTGAAATTTAGGATCATTTGCCTTTTGAACCCATTGGCGACCAGCCAGACCTTTAAGTGATGAGTAATATATACCTTTGAGCTCCATCAGGCATGTGTTTAGTCCGAGTACCCCACTGCATGAGATCAGCTAACACACCACCAGCCACACCTTTGAGTTGATTCAACACGCTGCCATAGTCTGCACATGGTAGAGGGCTCCCTTCGTCATCAACCACACATTCAAAAGCTGTGCAGGGATCATTCAAAGGTATTTTATTAGGCAAAATTTAAAAAAAACATGTTTAGCGTCCTGCCTTTTTGAAAAATAAGGAGGAGGTCCTTTTTTTATCTTCTTCAAAATGGACGCTCAAAAGGGCTGTAATTGGCTGCCCGTTACATTTTCCCTGACAGTCGGGCTAATTTTCAAGATGGCCGCCAGCAATTTTTTTTTCTTAAAAAAATTTTGAAAAAAAAAAAAAAAAATTTGAAAAAAGGAGGCGTCTCCCAAAAGAAAGCGGGTGGGGACGGGCGGGTCCACTAAACATGATTTTTTTTTTTTTTACATGGCCTTAAACCATTATTTCAATTCGATTCCCAAGAACATTTTCAAGGCAATGGTAACTGGATTAGTTTGACAAAATCAAAATTTTCGACGAGAGGAGATTTTGAAAATCATGGCATTGCAATTATCTGAACTAAAATGATTACCGTAATTAATGGTGTATTAACTGCACCTTTTTGCCCCCGAAAAAAAAAATCAAAGTCGGGGGTGCGGTTTATACACGGTACACCCCAAAAAAAAAAAAAAAAAAAAACATTTAAAGTTTCGATTTATTCCCCTCCACCTGGCGCTATGCCTGGCAATGTCTCCAAGCTCGGTAATCGGTGAGTTGACTCACCACTCGGAAACTAGAACAACACTCAAATTTGTCTGTCATCTTGGTTTGAAAGTAATCTTTCTGATAGATCTCAACATGTACTTTATAATAATAATTCCTCCAATTTTTCTTCAGTTACATGGTGTACCACAAGGTTCTATCCTAGGTCCCCTACTGTTTTTTAATTTACATCAACGATCTTACACATAAAAAAAAATCTCGGGGAGCGGTTAATACACGAGGGCGGTTTATACAACGTTAATTACGGTATACTTTTAAATCCAATAAAAGTCATATCTATTACTTACATATATCATAGTGGTATGGAGTGACAACAAAAGAGCGTAAGAACTGTGGACCACCAAGAACTTCAGCTAGAGCACTCTGGATCTCTCTCAGTGACGAGTGCACAAGAACTTTGCCTGATATGATAAAACAAAAAGAATAAGTGAAGAGTACGGCATATACAAGCAAAGTGATCCTGAAATTAAAATCTGTTGCTGCACGATGACAAATTACATGTATTGGAAGGATGGGAATTGATAGAGAGATCTTGTAGCATTTTATGAAACTGTCATAAGTACAAGTTCATAGACAACCAATTGAAATGTGTGTATAAAATTTAACACAAGATTCAATGGGATGTCAGAAAACTTTGCTTACCGGTATAACTGTTCATGTACAGAGTCACATCTTTCAAATTGCGATATTCAACATCCATGCGTAGATGTAAATAATCATATCTGATTGAGACAGCTCTGTCAGAACTCACTTTATTATAATTGTCAATTGACCAAAAGACCTTACAAAGAATCTTATAAAGTTTAAATGGCAATGAACTATCAACAGATTGTACAATCAATTGCTAAACTTTACCCTGCTATGCCTAGATCATAATTTGACACCATGATGTCACTTCAAATATCCACATTACAAATTGTCTATTTCTTAACACGATTGATTTAACAGATAATTTGTGTTCAATATGAAGCAATTCATTTTTTTTATCATCCTCAACATTCATATGTAAATAACCTTTTTCAGCTCTGCAAATACATGTGGTCTTCTATGGAAATTAGGCTTAAAGTAATGTAAAAATTAGGTCAAGGTTCAAATTATGATACTTACGGCTCTTGAGGATGTCCCTGCAGAAGTCTTCGTGAAACCAAGGAACTTGCATCTCAGGACGATCTAAAGCTAGAGATCGATTCAGGTGCATCAGTTTCCTGCGATACATCATACTTCTCTCTGGTATGGCTGTCAGGAAATACAAAATCAAACAAAGTCATAAGAACTTTAGAATCAATTTGATGGGACGCGAGACAATATTTAGTTTTTCTTCAAATGAAGGATTATTTCATGTTTAAAGAAGTGGATGCCTGAATATCCTCAACAAATTGTATATTGTTGAATTAGTCAGAAATTAGTACATAACAGGCTGTGAAAAGGGTATATTGCAATATAACTGTCTTGTTAGAGTCCCAAAATTGATAGAGATTTTGAGTAGGGCTGTGCACAACAGTGTAATGAGGTACCCGAGTACACTCCCAGGCTCACAGGCGAATACTTGAATATTCGGACGCCATGTTTTTTTATAATTTTTTTGAATTTGTTTGAATTTTTTTGATTTTTTTTTTAATTTTTTGATTTTTTGATTTTTTTTGATTTTTTTGATTTTTTTGCCACTACCATACCACTCGGCAGTTTCTCAGATCCCTCGCTGAAAACGCATGCAATTTTACTTTGAGTTGCAGTTGAAGGCGCCGATTCAATAAGAATAATAACAGTAAACAATGCTGTTTAAAAAACCAAAGATGGTAGAATAATCCATTTTCCTCCAAGTCCAAACAGAAATCTGGACATTTGGTCCCAGTTTCTGAAAGGTGAGTTTGACAGTGCTTGAGTTGGGAAACATTTTTACCGACGGTACCATGCCAGCGGACGCCGCTCTCCCTGGCACGGGAAGCGTGGGCCTGGACATTTTTTTTTTTTTTTTTTGCGGCCGGATATTCGGGTACGAGAAATTGTACCCGAGTAGTTGTCAACCGTGCGGGTACTCGAGCATTCGACTACCCGTCGCAGCCTTAATTTTGAGTCAGCTACATAAAAATACATGGAAATAAAGAGCAAGCGCTGAGTATCTTAGAATTTGCTCTGGGTTAAAAATTAAATTGAAGGGAAAAAGTGAGTTTCTAGAAAATCTGACACATTGTAATAAAAATAATGAAAATTGATTTTCACACAATTCTGATTACTGGTACTCACTTTCTAGTTCTTCATCAAGTCTGGTAAGAAAGTCCAGACTGAAGATTTTCTTCAAGATCCGCTCTGGGTATCTCTGGCTCAAGGCACACAAATTGGCAACATCTACCATATATCCTGCAGGAAGGCTGTCCAGGAAAGGCTCCATACGACTAATACAGGCATCGAATAGATCAGAAGTACTCTTAGGCTTGTAGTTGAGAGAACTGAACGGACTGAGGATGTAAGCCACTTGAAGCGGAGTGATCTTGTTGGTGTTCTGAGTGACAATCTGAGCAATTTCATCCAGGAGGTCGGGTTGAAGGTATCTGCTTCTGAAGATATGCCTGGCACAATCAACAGCTAACTGTGGTGTCAACTTAGAGAGGACATGAGAATAGCACTGCATGGCTACTCCGACAAGAAAGGACTGATTACCTTCTTCCAGAAGAAAATCGATGATGTTGTTCAGGTACCAGACACTGGTGATCTGATTGATGGAGTTGATGGCTCGTTCCTGCAACTGTTGTATGAGACTGGTACAAGAGTTGGGCAGTGGGCCCTGTCTCTCCAGTCTCCTTGAAATACGTACGATTGAGCTAAGGAGCTGGTTGATACCCGGAGTGTGGAGTTGAGGGAGGAAGGCCGATGCTTGACTGAATACAAGATTGTTGACTGAGGACAGAGGAAGAAGTGAGAGACAATAGATGATGTGTACAACGCGTCCAGGAGCTATGGCATCTTTCAGCATGTGAATCAGATCTCCATAAATTTTCTTGTACAATGTTTCATCAACGCCTTCAACTCTGACAAGAAACTCTACAATCTTTGCGATTCCATCTGTTGGCAAGTCTTGGCAACCGCTTGCTTGAAGCTTTCTAGCGATCTTCTTGGTTAAAGGTGTCATGGCAGTATAGCTCATCATCCTAAGCCCATGACACATTTGGGGCAAGTAGTGCATGGGTACCTTGTCTATAAGCTTTACTGCCTTGTCCTCAAGCTGAAACTTTGTATCTGCTGTAGCTTTGTCCGCAAGAATATTGATGACTAAAGTAGCCTCAACACCGTCATGAATTTCAGGCAACTTCCTTCTGAGGTAAGCTGATACTCTTGATTGAATGTTCTCTCCACTGTAATTGAGTCCTCCCTTGAGTTGTTGATACATAGTGCATACATTTTTCACACTGATCTCATCCTTCTCCATCTTCTCTAAGAATAGCTTTGCACATTTGTCTACCAGCGCTGGTGGAGATCCCCTGACCTTGGCTGCTGTCTGCAAAATCCGTCTCAAGTCATTTTTCCCAAGTGAATCTGCGTCCAACCCACTAACAAACTCTAGAGCCTTGGCAAATGAGCGAGAGCAGAGAGACGGAGATGCCAGTGGTAGACACTCTCTCATCCATGCAGAAAGCTCTCTGATATCTTCTATAGTGTCTAACTTTTGTCCGAAGGCATGAGTCACTGCCCCACATGATGACATCCTCCCTTCATTCAAATCACTGAGACATACTGCTACTTTGGACAATTGCTTGCAAGACATCCCTTCCAAACAGTTTAAGCATCTATTTCTCAATTCTCTGATTAAGCTGTGGGTTAGATCTTGATCCAGCAACTTGATTGCAGCATAGAAAACATCTGCAAGGACTTCTTCTTTTATCAGGTGAACCTTGTTTTCTGCCAGGATACACAAACTCAAGAAATCCCTACTTGGATGTACTTCGGTCTCAAGAACGTAGGTCCTATTGGGAGTGAATTTCATGACTTCCCAGAGCTGGACCAATGCATGACTGACATGGTCCTCATTTAACTTTGCCCGATTCTGACCAATCAACATAAGTAGGTTAGTATGATCCGAGCAGGATTGAATGTCTTCTAGTAGCCCCAGAACAGATGAGGTGTGGAACTCTCTCTGGCCCACAAGTGGAGGAGAGTGCTCAACAGAACTTTTCTTGACTTGGGTACCATGATGAGCACCATTCTTCCTCATGAGGTATCTTGGATTGATCATTCTGTTCTGAGCCAGAGTGGTATGATGACATGCTCCTGTCTCTCCTGGAGCAGTTGCAAATGCTCTACTGAGGATGGGATGAATTGATGACAGACCTCGATGTACGCCAGCTCTTCTTGCAATCCTACAGCTGGCCATGATTATGTCTTCAATCTTAAAATGTTGACATAGGCTTTCCTGTCATAAATAGATAAAGATAATATCAGTAGATCTAAATTGTTTGTAGTGGATAAATTCAATCAAATTTGAAAGAACTAGAAGCTCTGGTCATTGATTTCATAATTGTACAGTAGACAGTATCACAATCCTTTGTCCATTCCATCAAGCATGTGGAAGTCTAAGCGTACTGATAAAGTTCTTCTTATTAACTAGGCAAGAGATTTGTTTGGAAAATGACATGAACAACAAAGAAGCTTACCCAATGTTCTGACACCAGATTACATGGCATGAATAATCTAATTGAACCTTCTTCACATAGAGATCATGAGATAATTATATATGGACTGCTTTTGTAATATAAAATGTTTTGTCATGTCCCATAGGCTTAAAGATGATTACATTCAATAATTTATCAATGTGGTCCCAAAATGCCAAACAAGACAAAGAGCCAGTCAGTTTGGAATAAACACCAATCATTTTATTATCACACAATCACAGTCAACAAGTCAATTTAAACTTTAAGTCTTACAAACCATCAGTGAAATAGGCCACTGTAAGCCACCACTCATGTTTATAAATGATACACTAGTTAATCATGTTTTCATGATGTTAAGGTAGTGCATCGTTTCATGAAAATGTACTAGCGATACATCATGCATAGCATAGATCTAGGCCTACATCATTACATGTTTGTCATGTTTGTGTGGAAACAAGTACAAATTATTGGGAAAAAAGCTTTTTTTTAAAGTGAAACTGAAGGATAGCTTTTCGAGGCTTGTGAATAGTCAGTAGAAGTAGAATCTAGATCTCGATCTAGGCCTAGTAGAAGAAGGGAACCGAAAAGTCATTTGAAAGTCAACTCAATGCTCAAGTCAATGTCATGATATCTAGTGAAGTCCAAAATTTGGATTTAGATCTACTCACTCACCTTCCAAAAGAGAATGTGCTTCCTAGCAGTTGATAGCTTCGCGAGAACAGTGACTTTGTTATGTATCGGTATCACTCAGTATCACGTACTGGGCCTGGGCAGGGTATAGATGCATCAGTCAAGACTGCACTTGTGTAACAACAATGTTTTTGTAAGAGCCGAAGTCAGATTACGCAACAGCTGCAGCGGCTACTCCACTGTAAATGTTACGCAATATCATCGCCGAGTTAGCCCGGATCCTAGTCGATGGGTTACCAAATGACGGTCAATTTAACATTTGGAACGATTATTCATTATTATCATGTCTGTGGAATGCCCTTAAAATCATAAAAAAAAGACGTTGATAATTTCTATGCCAATATTAATTAAAAGATTATTAGATGATTATGATGAAACTGCGTGCACGCGAGTAAGAGTTTGATTCTATACATCTCGTCCTGAATAGATACCGCGCGCATCGTAGAACGAAAGCTTCAGTATCTGATATCGGCGGTTGTTCAGACAAACAACTGACCGCGCCTCTTTCCCGGGCCTCTTTGGCAGATGTCAGTTTAATTAAAAATTCCAACATCAGATGGTTATTCATATCCTTGCCTTTCCCGTCCCCGCAGTTTATCTGAGCCTTCTTCAGTTGCTACAATTATGTTGTTCAATGACTTGTAGATTTTTTATTTTTTATACACTGCACTGTGTTGGTGTTCGGGGGGGGGGGGGTCAGACGCTGCATGGGGTGCCTTCAAGGTAGGGAAAGTGCTCCTTCTTAACAAAAACTTCATATAAGTACCTCTTTCCCGTTCCCATAAGTGCTCCTTTTCAACTTTTACAATTGCCCGTTTACTAATTGTGCCCCTTTTCCTTTTTAATACATGCCCCTATATCCCATTCTTATAATTGCCCAATTTACTTTTGATAAATTAGTGTCTCTCTTACTAAGTTGACACGTGTCCCTTTTCCTTTCTAATTAGTGCTCTCTTTCCTTCTGATATAAGTGCCCCTTTTCTCATTGTAACTATTGCCTCTTTCCCTTTCTTATGAGTAATACTCTATGTACTCCTTTTCCACCACTGTATAGGCCTACCCGATCCGAATCCGATATGATATAGGTGCCTCTTGTACCTTGACAAAAGTGCCCTTATACAGAAATCGATGTTTATTTTTGCTTCTTCTCCGACATTACACAATTTCTTTCAATTTCCTTTAGTAAGAGTCATTTTATTTGTTTTGCTGGTGTGAATTTTAAGAGGAACTGTTTCAATGTTTTTTCACCAATACCAAAACTCAAGTTTATGTTAAAAAAAGACTGTGACAGAATTACCATTTGTGCTATGATAAGATTTTGCTACAGTAGGCCTAACACTAAAACTAGACACATATTTACAGCGGTAATTGAGCTGTTTGATGCATTTAAGTTTGATATCGAAAGGCATGGGCGGCGGAGAGTGCCGGCATGGGGGAGGGGCACTCAACAAAAAGAGCGCTTCAGGCTCGGGGAAAAGGCACCTACAAATTAGGGAAACTCCAAAGCACAAAACTATGAGTTTTAGACATTGTACATGAGATCATTAAAAAACTATAAAATGCGAGCGAGCGTAGCGAAATTTGAGGAAAATATTTGCTCTCAGTCACTTTAAACTAAGGCCACAATTGGAGAGGGTGTGGGAAATCTTTTTGAGATTAATCAAAACTTATTTGCGATTTAAGTCAACTGTACATACAATGTAAGAGATATGTACGGAGCCCCGGAAGTGACATGGAGAATTTTTTTTTTTCTCGTTTTCCTGAGATAAATTCTCGTTTTCCTGAGATAATTTTTCGTTTTCCTGAGATAAATTCTCGTTTTCCTGAGATAATTTTTCGTTTTCCTGAGATAAATTCTCGTTTTCCTGAGATAATTTTTCGTTTTCCTGAGATAACTCCCGTTTTCCTGAGATAAATTCTCGTTTTCCTGAGATAATTTTTCGTTTTCCTGAGATAAATTCTCGTTTTCCTGAGATAATTTTTCGTTTTCCTGAGATAACTCCCGTTTTCCTGAGATAAATTCTCGTTTTCCTGAGATAATTTTTCGTTTTCCTGAGATAACTCCCGTTTTCCTGAGATAAATTCTCGTTTTCCTGAGATAATTTTTCGTTTTCCTGAGATAATTTTTCGTTTTCCTGAGATAAATTCTCGTTTTCCTGAGATAATTTTTCGTTTTCCTGAGATAACTCCCGTTTTCCTGAGATAAATTCTCGTTTTCCTGAGATAATTTTTCGTTTTCCTGAGATAATTTTTCGTTTTCCTGAGATAAATTCTCGTTTTCCTGAGATAATTTTTCGTTTTCCTGAGATAACTCCCGTTTTCCTGAGATAAATTCTCGTTTTCCTGAGATAAATTCTCGTTTTCCTGAGATAATTTTTCGTTTTCCTGAGATAACTCCCGTTTTCCTGAGATAAATTCTCGTTTTCCTGAGATAATTTTTCGTTTTCCTGAGATAAATTCTCGTTTTCCTGAGATAATTTTTCGTTTTCCTGAGATAACTCCCGTTTTCCTGAGATAAATTCTCGTTTTCCTGAGATAAATTCTCGTTTTCCTGAGATAATTTTTCGTTTTCCTGAGATAAATTCTCGTTTTCCTGAGATAATATTTCGTTTTCCTGAGATAATTCCCGTTTTCCTGAGATAAATTCTCGTTTTCCTGAGATAATTTTTCGTTTTCCTGAGATAAATTCTCGTTTTCCTGAGATAATATTTCGTTTTCCTGAGATAATTCCCGTTTTCCTGAGATAAATTCTCGTTTTCCTGAGATAATTTTTCGTTTTCCTGAGATAAATTCTCGTTTTCCTGAGATAATATTTCGTTTTCCTGAGATAATTCCCGTTTTCCTGAGATAAATTCTCGTTTTCCTGAGATAATATTTCGTTTTCCTGAGATAAATTCTCGTTTTCCTGAGATAATATTTCGTTTTCCTGAGATAATTCCCGTTTTCCTGAGATAAATTCTCGTTTTCCTGAGATAATATTTCGTTTTCCTGAGATAAATTCTCGTTTTCCTGAGATAATATTTCGTTTTCCTGAGATAAATTCTCGTTTTCCTGAGATAATATTTCGTTTTCCTGAGATAATATCTCGTTTTCCTGAGATAATTCCCGACCAATACATGTTGCATAACTTTCGAACCCCAGACATCGTTTGTTATATGATCACAGATTTCCCGATTTTCTTGATCGATTTTAATTTGTTTAAAACTTGAACATTTCATAGCTTTCTTATTTCATATCCGATTTTCCTCAAACTTTTATTAATCACTTTGTCTTATTTGTCTCCTTTTATTAAAATATAGATATTCTTAGGGTGGCCTTCCCCTTTAAGGCCCTTTTGGAATTGATAATTATCTTCATAAATATATCGAATTTCGACAATAATTGAGACCTACAAGGTGATGTGAATAACTGAATACCAGGCGCGGATCCAGGGGGGGGGGGCGAGCGGGTCTTGGCCCCCCCCCCCCCCCCCGCAAAAAAAAAAAAAAGAGAGAGAAGAAAGGAAAAGAAGGGAAAGAGAAAGAAGAGAAAAAGGGAAAGAAAGAAGAGGAAGAAGAAAAGAAAAGGGGGAAGAAGGAGATTGGGGAAGGCGAAAGGGCCTTGCCTCCCAGGCTGTTGACCCCCCCCCCCCCCCCAATCAAAAAAATAAGAGAGAAGGAAGGAAAGGGAAAGAAAAAAGGAAAAGAGGAGATACTGGCGTACTGATAGGGGGGGCTTGGGGGAAATCAAATTCAAACGTGGTTTATTTCTAATTCCACAACGGTGGATTACTTTAATAATGCTGAAATGACATAATTTCCGAGATTTTTCCTCACTTTTTAGTTGATTCCTACTTGTCAGGGCCCGAGGTACGGCGGGGATCGGGAGCCCCGAGCCCCCCCCCCTACTTTTTTGAAAAAGTATATTAAAGAGAAATAAAATAGAATGAGAGCAAGAAAGAAAGAATAGTTAACTGCTAGTGTTGAAAAATAATGAGGCATCAAAATATGCTCATCTGACCGTGATTAATGCCTAAAACCCCTAAGCTTCCAGGGGCTCTGCCCCCTGGATTTCACCTAGGGCCCTACGGCGGGCCCTTAGATGCTCATCTGACGGTAATTTAATGCCTAAAACCCCTGATATTTTGGGGCTCCGCCCCCTGGACCCCACGCCAAATAGTGACGTGCCAGTCTCACAAAATAATAAGGTATACAAAAAAATGCTCATCTGACCTTAATTAAACGCCTAAAACCCCTGAGCTTCCGGGGCCGGCTCCGCCGCCTCGACCCCCCCCCCCAGGGGTCCTAAGACGGCCCCTGATTCAGACAAGGATTAAGAGTATAGAGAACGATACAACGCATCGTCTTCTTTCTCTAATAATATAATGAAACGTCAAAGCTTCGCGCAGGAGGGGAGGGGGGGGGGGGACTGAATTCAGACAAGGATTAAGAATCGAGAACGGTACAACGAATCGTCTTCTTTCTCTCATAATCTTAAGAAACGTCAAAGCTTCCGCGCTTTGCGCGGGAGGGGGAACCTGAATTCAGACGAGGATTCAGAGGCGAGAACGGTAATACGAATCATTAATGATTTAATGAAAGGTAAAAGCTTCCGCGCTTCGCGCGGGATGGAGGGGGAACTAAATTCCGATGAGGATTATTTTCGAGAACGGTACAACGAATCGTCTATTTTCTCTAATGATTTAATGAAACGTAAAAGCGTCCGCGCTTCGCGCGGGAGGAGGGGGTTGGGGGAGAATCTAAATTCAGACGAGGATTATTTTCGAGAACGGTACAACGAATCGTCTATTTTCTCTAATGATTTAATGAAACGTAAAAGCGTCCGCGCTTCGCGCGGGAGGAGGGGGTTGGGGGAGAATCTAAATTCAGACGAGGATTATTTTCGAAAACGGTACAACGAATCGTCTTCTTTCTCTAATGATTTAAGGAAATTTAAAAGCTTCCGCGCTTCGCACGGGAGGGGGGAACCTAAATTCAGACGAGGATAAAGAGTCGAGAACTCGACAACGAATCGTCTTCTTTCTCTAATAATTTAATAAATCGTAAAATTTTCTGCGCTTCGCGCGGGAGGGGGAAAACTAAATTCAGACGAGAATTATTTTCGAAAACGGTACAACGAATCGTCTTTTTTCTCTAATAATTTAATGAAACGTCAAAGCTTCCGCGTTTCGCGGAGGAGGGAGGGGGAAACTCGCCCCTCCCTGCACCGACTCCCCCCCCCCGCAATACGTCACTGTTCGTCACCATTACGTACCAATATTTGGCTCGCAAAATTTCAAATTTGGCCCCCCCCCCCCTAAGAAATCCTGGATCCGCGCCTGCTGAATACCCCCCTAAAACTGGATTTAGGCCCTAGGCTGACGGCCGTCGGCCTCGTGGGCTGTCCCCTATTGTAATCGGGCAGTCTGTTAATAAAGTGTTCTTGAATCAAGATAGATTTATCATCCAAATTGGTATTGTACCTAAATTTGTACGAGTAAGACTAGTGTCTTTTATTTGTTAATTGCGCTCTTCGCTCGCTCGCAATTTACAGTAAATATATATGACATCGTACTCAGGGGGGGGGGGGGGGGGCATTCAGATGCCAAAACGTTATAAAATTAGAAGAAAATTGTATTTTTTCAATTCATTTTAACTGTTCATTTTACAACGGAAATTATCTCAGGAAAACGAAATATTATCTCAGGAAAACGAGAATTTATCTCAGGAAAACGAAATATTATCTCAGGAAAAAAGAGAATTTATCTCAGGAAAACGAAATATTATCTCAGGAAAACGAGAATTTATCTCAGGAAAACGAAATATTATCTCAGGAAAACGAGAATTTATCTCAGGAAAACGAAATATTATCTCAGGAAAACGAGAATTTATCTCAGGAAAACGGGAATTATCTCAGGAAAACGAAATATTATCTCAGGAAAACGAGAATTTATCTCAGGAAAACGAAAAATTATCTCAGGAAAACGAGAATTTATCTCAGGAAAACGGGAGTTATCTCAGGAAAACGAAATATTATCTCAGGAAAACGAGAATTTATCTCAGGAAAACGAAAAATTATCTCAGGAAAACGAGAATATCTCAGGAAAACGAGAATTTATCTCAGGAAAACGGGAATTATCTCAGGAAAACGAAAAATTATCTCAGGAAAACGAGAATTTATCTCAGGAAAACGAGAATTTATCTCAGGAAAACGAAATATTATCTCAGGAAAACGAGAATTTATCTCAGGAAAACGGGAATTATCTCAGGAAAACGAAATATTATCTCAGGAAAACGAGAATTTATCTCAGGAAAACGAAAATTATCTCAGGAAAACGAGAATTTATCTCAGGAAAACGAGAATTTATCTCAGGAAAACGGGAATTATCTCAGGAAAACGAAAAATTATCTCAGGAAAACGAGAATTTATCTCAGGAAAACGAGAATTTATCTCAGGAAAACGAAATATTATCTCAGGAAAACGAGAATTTATCTCAGGAAAACGGGAATTATCTCAGGAAAACGAAATATTATCTCAGGAAAACGAGAATTTATCTCAGGAAAACGAAAAATTATCTCAGGAAAACGAGAATTTATCTCAGGAAAACGGGAATTATCTCAGGAAAACGAAATATTATCTCAGGAAAACGAGAATTTATCTCAGGAAAACGAAAAATTATCTCAGGAAAACGAGAATTTATCTCAGGAAAACGAGAATTTATCTCAGGAAAACGGGAATTATCTCAGGAAAACGAAATATTATCTCAGGAAAACGAGAATTTATCTCAGGAAAACGAAAAATTATCTCAGGAAAACGAGAATTTATCTCAGGAAAACGGGAATTATCTCAGGAAAACGAAAAATTATCTCAGGAAAACGAGAATTTATCTCAGGAAAACGAGAAAAAAAAAATTTCTCCATGTCACTTCCGGGGCTCCGTAGATATGAGAGTGCAATCCGTGTGATTGATTCACTGCGACATAATCTTTTGAAATCTTCAAATGAATGTCCGGATAACCAACTTTTTATTTACCTGCATGGTGTCTTTATAAAATTTTTTTTTTTTGACGTATACCGGATGGGGGATTATTTATATCCGTTTCTATGTATGAAGCTCATATTACATATTATAGGTCAACTCATTCTCAAATTTGTAAAATCCTATTTTAGTTTATTTATGTACATAACTCTATTTGTGGCAATTTCCGGATGTACCAATTGATTACAACATAAACTTGATAATAGAGTATCAAAATACAGTAATTTCATATGCAGGTCCTGCTTTCATAAAGGATTTTCCACAATTATTATAAGCAGAGCGTGAATGCTCTACAAATCCTACAATATATTATTTATAAAAATAGATTTTTTTTTTTTTTTTTTTTTTTTTTTTTTTTTTTGGGGGGGGGGGGGGTTCGGTTTTATTCAAAGAAACAGAAATCAATAAAAGATAAGGATGAGATATCAGATATTATATATGAGAAATTATATTATTCCCTCGTAAGTTGCATAGACCCTGGGTCAAATCTGGGATAGGCCTACGCCTGGGCCGACAAGTCAAGAGAAATGTCGAGTTTCCGTATGCCGAAATATATTCTGGCCGAATCGTTTATGATTCAGCTAGTACGCTGCGTGCATCCAAATCATATTCCCCAAATTATACAGCGTATCGCGCATGATTTGTACCCCGGCGGATGACTGGAGCTGAAGCTGGATGAATCGAGTCTAGGGTCTAGACTAGACTCCATTCGTTTATTTCAAGAAGTTGATAAATGGATTAAATGCAAAATGGATCAACTTCAACGGGCAGAAATCACTCTTCTTCAAAGTTTACAGCAAACTTTTCCCGATCTTGAGACGCCGATGTTAGCCATATCTCGTTTTGGAGCCCCACGAAATGCCTTTCTTCTGTGTTTCCCAATTGCATTTTGTTTTTTCGGCGCCAGATCGGGATTGCAAGTTTTGTGGGTTGCCGTGATATCTGAATGGCTGAATTCTGTGCTGAAATGGTAATTTTTCTAGGGTGAAGCTTTTCTTCACACACCTAATCGGAGATGAAGGTAGCCCATCCAATGTGTAAAAATTGCCAATTTGATAAGTGTAAGGATCGCATTGTACACATACAACCGCTATACTACACACACGCAATATATTCTTTGTGTATTGTATCCATCAGGCATGATCAGTGCAACGATGGCTGGCTACCAATTAAAATAGTGGTCGGATATAATGAGAGTAGATGATGGGGGGGGGGGGGGGGGGGTAAAGCGCAGTACTTAGGGGCAAATCAAAGAATTATACTAAGACCTCACCTCATTTATGTTAGAAATTAAAACGTTATTATCTTCTTTCGAATTGCAATATATCCCCGCACCATAATTATAAGTCATGCATGAATGTTATTTGTCATATGTTACCGTAATTAACGTTGTATAAACCGCCCTCGTGTATTAACCGCACCCCTCTTTTTCGCCCTTAAACAAACAACAACAAAAAACAAAAAAATTGCCGAGATTTTTTTTTTGTGTGTAAGAACATTACGGTAATGTAAATTAAAAAACAGTAGGGACCTAGGATAGAACCTTGTGGTACATCATGTAATAGAAGAAAAATTGGAGGAATTATTATTATAAACTACATATTAAGATCTATCAGAAAGATTACTTTCAAACCAAGATGACAAACAAATTTGAGTGTTGTTCTAGTTTCCGAGTGGTGAGTCAACACACCGATTACCGAGCTGGGAGACATTGCCAGGCATGGCGCCAGGTGGAGGGGCCTAAATCAAAACTTTAATTTTTTTGTTTTTGTTTGGTGTACCGTGTATAAGCCGCACCCCCCGACATTGAATTTTTTTTCGGCGCCAAAAAGGTGCGGTTAATACACCGTTAATTACGGTATATATTTGAAAGGTGGTACACGATTCAAGCTCTATTTGCTTATGTTTCATCACCTTTGTGTGTTCTTTCTTCAAACTGTATATTAGTTGCAACGTGTCTATGATAAATCATTGTTATATTCTTTTTCATGTGAAGTCAATTCAAATGGATTGTAAAATTGAAATGATTTGTTATATTATTTTATATTCATTTTTCATGTGATGTTAACTTCAATGAATTGTGAAATTGTGAACATGCATGCATAATAAATATGCCTTCTCTGGGAAAAGGGGCATTGACTCTTTAAATACCAAATCACAGAATCTATTCACCATTATGTCACCGTCATGTACATATTTTCTATGGATATATTTTTTTAAATCTCAACTCTTTACCACATCAGCGTCATGTATACATTGTCGATGGATAAAGTGGAATATTTAGTCTTCACCACCCTACGCTAACTTTTCACCACCCTATAGCGTCATGTACATTCTCTGTGGATAAACTGGAATATTAACTCTTCAACACCCTACGCTAACTTTTCACCACTCTAGCGTCATGTACATTGTCTATGGATAAACTGGAATATTAACTCTTCAACACCCTACGCTAACTTTTCACCACCCTAGCGTCATGTACATTGTCTATGGATAAGCTGGAATATTAACTCTTCACCACCCTACGCTAACTTTTCACCACCCTATCGCCATGTACATTGTCTATGGATAAACTGGAATATTAACTCTTCAACACCCTACGCTAACTTTTCACCACCCTAGCGTCATGTACATTGTCTATGGATAAGCTGGAATATTAACTCTTCACCACCCTACGCTAACTTTTCACCACCCTATCGCCATGTACATTGTCTATGGATAAACTGGAATATTAACTCTTCAACACCCTACGCTAACTTTTCACCACCCTATCGCCATGTACATTGTCTATGGATAAACTGGAATATTAACTCTTCACCACCCTACGCTAACTTTTCACCACCCTAGCGTCATATGTACATTGTCTATGGATAAACTTGAATATTAACTCTTCACCACCCTACGCTAACTTTTCACCACCCTATAGCGCCATGTACATTTTCTATGGATAAACTGCACTATTAATTTTTCACCACCATACGCTAACTTTTCACCACCCTATAGCGCAATGTACATTGTCTATGGATAAACTGCACTCTTAATTTTTCACCACCCCCTCCTGGGGGGGGGGGGAGGGGGGAGTAGGGGCACAGTGCCCCCCCCCACACTTTTTCAAGCACCCGAAAAGTGCTCCTTTTTACATAGGAATAGTGCTCCTTTTACTCTGATAAGTGCCCCTTTTATTTTGACACGTGCCCCTTTTCCTTCGACAAATTCCCATTTTCCATTGCAATAAGTGTCCATTTTCCATTCTCGTTAGTGCCCTCTTTAATCTCTAGTACTAGGGTAGGTGCGGGGAATTGGAGACCCTTAAGCACATTTCCATAATTTACATAAACATGAAAAATGTTACACATACAGAAAGTTTTGTTTTCTCTTTAGTAACTTCTTCTCTTTATTGGGAAACAAAATTGTGGTCATGATGTAACTGATTAATAAGATAAAAATAATTTATGACGTCATCACCAAAGGTCTCTCATTACCAACATGCGTAGGTAATAAGGGACAGTTACAAATCAAGACATTTCAAATCAAGACATCAAGACAAAAATGGGATTGTTATAGTTAGTTCAAACACTTTTTGAAAGAGATACATGCAGCCAATGAACTTACTGTAATTTTGAAACGATTTTGAAAGAAGAAATTAATCCCATGTTATCCGCTTGTTATGCTTTATAATTCATTGATATTACAGTATATAACATATTGCAATTTAGTATGGGCCACCAGCGCCAAAATCAAAATCAACTCTATTTATTTATTGTAAAAGAAAGCCCTTCGTATTATGTACTGGTTCACCATTATTTATCTCACACAAGTCCAATATTTTACAAACTGAAAACCCTTACAGTATTCGACATAAATTCGCTACAATGTTTACTGATCATGTTTAAGTATTTAAAAATATGCTCCCTCTTTCATTTCAAAACTTTTACACTATGAATAAAGCTATTCACTCTTACCCTACTCGTAATTCATCAATTTTTATCTAGTATACCCGAAATAAATCCATAAGACACCATGGTCCTGACCTATGGAACTTTCTCCCAGAATCTATTAAATCATGTTGCTCCCTCTCAGGGCCGTAGCCAGAGTTTGATGTTTAGGGGGGGGGGGGGACACATACATGTAATTGATCGACGTTCTGGGGAGGGGTCTAAACACTTTCAATTTTTTTTTGGGGGGGGGGGGGGGGGGCACGTGCCCCCCCCCCCCCCCCCCCCCCCCACGTGGCTACGGGCCTGCTCACTCTACTCATTTAAGGCCAAAGTTAAAACGATGTTATTATCAGAATACTCAAGGTAGAATTTCTGTGTCAACTTTTCATTGTTTATCATGTCATCTCTTCTTTCATTCGAATCATTATCATCATCATCATCATCATCCTCATCTGCATTGTCAATATCACCATCATCGAAATTTGTATTTTCAATTACCTATCCGTATCTGCTTAATATGTGTTAATATATTCATGAGTTTTTGTCTGGGGTTGTCGTTTTATCAAGCAATCTGCTTACAGCAATGACAGTCCTTCTTCCGCAAATAATTGTATCATGTTTTATAATGTTTGAGGAAACTTAAATACTTATTGTACTTTATATTATTATTGTTATCGAAAAACTGTATGATTACACGAATGCAGAAGAAAATATAATCAAATCAAAATATACTTATGTTATTTTATCTAAGGTCTTTTCAGTCTTCCGTTATGAAAATGTACTTATAACCCTATCAGGATTGGGTTTTTTCCTCTTTATAAGATGTAATTTTTCGCACTGCGACCTCACAAATCTTAACACTTTTCCTCGCTCGCAAATAAATGTTCAGACCATCACACCCAACTGCAAAGCATGATGAATTATGCAATATCTTGTATGGTGTATAAAGTGAAACAAATATTGAAATCATCCCTGATAATGTAAACACAATGTAGGGGTATATACCGAAGTCTAAACAATGTCTATTTTCTCTTTGAGATTTCCCTTTGTAGCCTAGGTGCCTTTTTTTCTTCAGAAAGTGTCCTTTTTTCTTGGTGCCCCGCCCCCCCCCCCACTTTCGAAGTCGCTCGGCCGCCCCTTTTCCCCAGTGAGTGGAGACTACAAACTTGCGATTGATTGGAGGACTTACGATTGATTTGGATCAATCGTAACTCTATAAGACGGGGACAACTAAGCTCTCATGAAATTCTCACAATGATACACATCTGAAGTTTGAAAACCAATATTAAGACTGCGGACACCAGAATATTTCGAAAACTAATAAACATTTATTGAGAAATTACAGGAAATGCCAATGCATATATGACTTTTTTTTCCTTTCAATTCTATTTTCTCTTCTTCGTTCTCGTAGACAAAGCCTCTATGGTAATACATGGCAACATTAGAATAAAGAATCATTACTAGTACTGTATAGATCAGGCGCGCCGGAAACAGTTTGGGATTGGGGGGGGGGGGGTCTGGGGGTGGCAAACATTCCAGGGGCTCACCTTCCAGGGGCAGCGACGTAATGAGAAAAAACGTTCGGAAAGTGGAGTATTAACGATCAGGTAGAGCGTAAATTGGCGTAGGGTCCAGGGCATGAATCTCGGTAGGGGGGTCAAGGGGCTGAGCCCCGGAAGCTCAGGGGTTTTAGGTATTAAATTACGGTTAGATGAGCATCCAGGGGCCCTCTTTAAGGCCATTGACGTGTTCCAGGTGGGGAGCCCCCAGAAGCCCAGAGGTTTTAATATTTAACTACGGTCAGATGAGCATCCAGGGGCCCGCCCTATAGTGGGTCCAGGGGGGCAGAGCCCTCGGAGGCTCAGGGGTTTTAAGTATTTAATTACGATCAGATGAGCATCCACGGGCCCGCCTTCGGGCCCTTGGTGGGGTCCAGGGGGCAGAGCCCGCGGAAGCTCAGGGGCTTAGGTATTTAATTACGGTCAGATGAGCATCCAGGGCCTGCCTTAGGGCCATTGACGTGTTCCAGGGG